TATTTTTTAATATAGACATTTTATCAATCTATTAGAAGCAAAAATAAAAAATAAGGTGTTCCATTTGAATTTTAAAAATTATTTAACTTTTAACAAACTTCTTAATTTATTAATCTCTATAAATGCAAAACACTAAAAAATTGCTACAACTTTAAATTCTGTACTTTCCTTGCAGAAGTAAGAAAAAAATTGTTCTAACTGTCTTTTGTGTAATAAATTTCTAAAAAGTGCATGTTCTCGTTAAAAAATCGTTTTAAAAGACTGCATTCAAAAAAGAAAAGAAACATACGGTGTTTCATTTAAAAAAAACACAAGTTTGTATCGAAACAAAATTTTTACCTATCTCGGAAGTAATTGGCTACTTTCCTTTCTGTTAGGGTAGAAAGAAAACTTAATTATTCATTATTTAATAACTCTCAAATATTGTCATAATTTCCTCAGTGAAATGCTAAAGACGCAATCCGCTCGCCCCCGTCGTAAAAAAGCCTTAAAACGTGCAATGAAATAAAATTGCGACAATTACCGTCCATTAGAAGTCCGATAACTCTGTTAAGACAAGAATTCTAAATGCATTTTTCTGCTTGATTAAATTTCAAATTTGAAAAAATCGATTTGAGCTTAGCATTAATGTCATCATTTCCATAACATTGTGTAAAAGTTGCATCGTAAAACAAATGAATTATTTCAGGCACGTGACCTGGCGAAAATCGGGTAACTCCCTTGAAATTTATGACACGTTTTATACGTCCAAAGTGAACATGGCTTCGTCTTAAATCATATCTAGGCGAGTGGATTAAAATTTTACGAAGAATGTCGCAAGAATGTGTCGGAAAAGATAAGTTCTTATGTGCAATTATAAGTTTCTTATTGGTTCAGGTGGTCGATAAAGTTAAACTTTAATTACATGCAAGATATTACGAGACAAGCACGTTTGGGGTTATAACTACTATTAAAAGTTTTTGCTTTCACAAAATTGATGACTTGTCACGAAGTAATGAAATGTTGTTAATCAAATCGGTTTTATCACCGAACTTATTTAATTCATTTTGGTGCACATAAAGCACAGATTTAGTCTTTTAAGCATGAGTTTTGCAATTTATTCGATATTAGGTGTTTTAATACAGTTCTGACTCATACTAAATTTGCAATTTCAAAATTTATTGTAAGATAAAATAAGCATTTTCTATAGTTTTTCCAGCGAGAGATGAGATTGGATTTTTAAAAATATTAAAATCAATAAAAACGAATAAAAAAATGTAAATCTACCCAAAATGATGTTTTTTGTGCGTTTCTATAAAATTTAAAATTAACTATGTTATTTCAAACAGAAATAGTATATTATGTTATTAGAGTAAAAGTGTCCCAGCGAGTTGAAAAACTCCAATAGAGACCTTTAAATAGTAAAATTAAAAAAAAATTGTATAGGACATTGATAGATACAGTTGGAGACAAAATACTTTGGTCGTCACATTTCTGACACTTTAATGTAATTCAAGCTTCAATGAATGACAATTTCAAATTAATGACAGCTATTATATCTTTCTATCAAAAATATGTACAACTTGTCAACTATGATTGACAGTAGCTAAAAATACGGTTAACAGTCCTAAAGCATGCTTTACAATTTAATGTCACCCAAGTGACATTGACACACATCTAAAATTATTTTCAAGCATACAGCATGTCCCAAAAATAAGTTACGATATACAAACTTGTGTTTTTTCGAATGAAACACTGTATGTTTTGGATGTAGCCTTTTAAAACAATGTTTTTACGGTAAACCTTTATTAGTCGATTTCTTTTAGTTTTAGAAATAAGACGTTTTTTTGACAAAAACATGCACTTTTTAAAAATTTATTACACAAAAATTAAGACAGCTAGAACAAATTTTTTCTTCTGCAAAGAAGAAAGTACAGAATTTAAAGACGTAGCAATTTTTTAGTGTTTTGCATTTGTAAAGATTAATAAATTAAGAAGTTTGTTAAAAGTTAAATAATTTACAAGAAGAAGAATTTACAGAAATTGTAAAAGTCGTTATAAATTCTGAAATTCGAATTATTTTATTGTAAAAATAAAGAATAATAGATTTAATTTAACACAAATTTGATTATTAAGTCATATTTCTTCCATCTCTTATGCAACTGTGCACTTTTTGGTTACTGAAATAATAGTAATTTTTTTTGATGTTTTTTAACGTTAAATATCTTTTTAGTTATTGATTATAAACACCTTAAAGTAAATAATTTTAGAAAGACAATTATAAATCTTTTAAATGCAAAAATAATAAAGAGTGTTCCATTGAAATTTTTTAAGTTTTTGAACTTTTAACAAACTCCTTAATTTTTTTACCTTTGCCACACACTAAAAAAATGTTATAACCTTATAGCTTGTACCTTCTTCTTTGCGGTAGTAAAAAATATTTCAAGATGTCTTAGTTTTTGTGTAATAAATTTTTAAAAAGTGCAAGTGTTCGTCAAAAAATCGTCTTATTTTTAAAACTAAGCAAAATCGGCCAATAAATGGTTAACATAAAAACACTGTCATAAGAATCTACATCCAAAAACGCTAAGAAACATATGGTGTTTCATTTAAAAAAACATAAGTTTGTATTGTAACTTATTTTTGAGACACGCTGTATAGTTGAAAATAATTTTAGGCGATGGACTAGATTAGTATCTATCAATGTCCTATATATATTTTTTAATTCTACCATTTAAAGGTCACTAATGGACTTTTTCAACTCGCTGGGACACCCTGTAGGTTAATTCAGCTGAGCCATATAAAGTCACTTTTACTCCGAATAACAAATCCTATTTTATCTGCAAACGTATTTAGATTAAGAGTAAAGAGCAACAAGAGCAAGTAAATGAACAAAATAATCAGAACGCTTTGCAAGTAATGAAATCATAACAACGCTATAAACAAACATCACGCGTCAATATCGGAATTTATGTCGAGATTTTCGAAAGTGTTTATTTATTTAACTAGTGCAGTTAGTAGTGCAAAATATGGAATGCTGATGATATCTACAATGTACCTTTCCCAAAATTTCTAAAGCATCGAGAGACAAGAAAGGTAAATGTAAAAACGCTTAAGCGCAAAACTAGATTTTTTACTCCATAAAAAAGAAAAACATTTAGTCATAAAAGTTGCTACTTTTGTGACGATTGTGGATAAACTATGTTTTTATTGCATTTTTAAATTACTCTCAAGATTCTAATAGAATTTTTATTGAGTTTCTCTTTACCTAAACAAATATTAGGCTTTTTTACCAAAATTTTTAGATTTGAAGTTTCCTCTTCAAAAATTGATAACTCTGTTATTTTCAACTATTATGAAATTGTGTTTGGGCATTTGAAAAGGAAAGGTTAGGTGTTTTCTTTGGTGTATTTAAAATTGGAAAAAAAAACAGTTATTAAAGAAAAATTATTTTGCGAAATTTATTATTATTTTTTTAATGAAAATCCATTTCGGATTACAAACATTTTAATAGAATTCCGTGATAAATTTTAATAACATAGATTACCGTCATAAAAAATTACAAAATCAAAAAAGTCACATTTTCCAGCCTTGAAATCAATTTTTTTTCAAGGACGCTTGAAATTTGACTTGCATCATCTTGTGATGTTTTCTCTTGCCACATTACAAACTTTTTCATTTTTTTTTCCTTTGGAAAAATACCTCCATTCGCGTAATTAAAGAGTGCATTTTCCTTCCAGTGTTTCCTTTGTTTTGCAACAACCCCGATTGATTGATCTGAGTTCAGACACGTGCCTGATCGTCTAAACTCAAGCTACAATTCTTCAGTTTTTCAGACGATAAAACTGTAATTTTACGACAAGATGAATCGCGCCCATTATTTTTAATTATTTGGCACAAATGACTGCAAAAAAAATTCACTTTATTCCAAATTCGTTAGTTTTACAAAAACATATTTGTAAAAATTGCAAAGAGAAGTCCAACTTTTAACATCAGGCCCGGGAAAAGCGCAAAAATAACCGTTCTGGGTGAATGGAAATGCGAGGGTCGTCTATTAAGATTGAATCCCAATTTTTATTTCCATTAGTTCGGAAAAAAGGGACTGTCTGGAGTAAAATATTGTCGAGAGTCATAAACAACGCTTATCTTTTCAATTGTTTGTAGTCTAGTGATTTTATTGCTTTTTTCTGAAGTAATGTGTCTCGAAAAAAACGTTAAAAGATTTTGAAGAGCGGTTCCCTAGGTCAAAATAGAAAAAAAAGTTCCTGTGGACGTACGTCTGGGAATACTTCACAAGAGGAGCTAGAGCGATAAGTCGACTTTATACAGGGTGTTAAAAAAAGATTGTAAAATATTTAAGGAAGTAATAGTATAGACCAAAATAAACAAAAAAGTCTTAATAAACATGAGTCCACAAAGTAATGGTTTTGGAGATATATCGAATATAACGAAGGTGAAAATTTTTAGAATTTTTATAGCTTGTCTTTTTTGTTTGAACAGATTGCAAATAATTTTTCAAAACACGAATAATTTTCAATATAATTCTTTGTTTTGGTCCATATATTATTACCTTCTGAAATGTTTTACAATCTTTTTTTAACAGCCTGTATATGGGTTACCTACCTGAAAAGCCGAACTTGTGGGTAACCCCAATGGAGGCGCATGTTGATGTGACGAAGCCGATGTTGACCCATAATTTAGCTGATAAGCAGTGTCCAATATCTTCTTATGGGCGGAAGCGTGGGCTCTATATGCCGAAACGCTAAGCTTCATACTTTGCTCACACAATGCTGTAACTAGCTCGCTGGGGGCGGCAGCAACCGCCTCTCGACGTAGTCCCGCCCACCCGAGAAACCTTCCAATAAAAAAAGCAACAAATTATGCATTTTTTACTCGCAAAAATCTTATTGCTACATTCAGACACACATAACTAAAATTATTATTATTTAAAATTAAAAATTAAAATTATTGTTTAAATTATTAAAATAAAATAAGAGCTGACTTAAAAAGATATGGACATAAGACAAAATTTTATACAGGGCGCTCAAAAAAAGTACAGACAAATTACAAAAAAATGTTGAAAAAATTCATATTTTACAAAACTGAGGCTACAAATTTATTTCCTTAAGCTCTTCGGTATTTGTAATTGAATTTTAATTATTTATTGAGCAATAAATTTGCAGATATGACAACACTGTGTATTAATTTTTGTTGTCGTCATAGTAACAATGCTTATTCCTTACGAAACCCGTCATGAGATTACAAAAATAATTGATTTTTCGTGTTGTTCAGTTGCAACGCCATTAGACAACGTTGAAAAGTCTATAACTTTTTTAAATATCTGTTTTTACCAATAACTTTAATAGATATTTTTTTATTATTTTTATCTTTATATAGGGTGCGCCAGAACTCGCGCCTCAGAGAAAAAAATTAAGTAAGGTAAGATACCAGGAACAAGGAAAAAAGGTTTAAAAAATTCTATCTGTCAAAAAATTTTGACATTTATTCTTTGACATTTGACATTTTTGTATGTCTACTTAATGATACTGATGTTATATGTTTTTTTACAATTATTTAGTAAAAGCACAAAAATTTTGCCAATAAAAGCCAGAAATAACATTGAACAGAGTTACAATATAACTATAAAAGGAAAAACACAACAAAAAAGTTATGAATTTTTTGATAATTTATAATTTAAGTTGTATTCAGATTTTTTTACAGTTTGGCAGATACTTTTTTCTGTGTTTTTACAAAAAAATATATTTTGTTTTTCTTTAGTTTCGACTGTGAGAGATGTTTGTAAAGAATGAAAATAAAAATTTCAAATATATTAATGGTAATGCTGTTATTAAAAAGAAAAAAATGTACTCTAAAATTTGGATAAAAGGAGAAAACAAAGAATAAAATGACGAAAAATATGACATAAAAAGAAGAAACTACAGATTTGTCAACAAGAAATTACCACCTAGGATTTGAACTTTTAGGAAAATTACGTTTTTCATGTTGTTTGTAACTAAAATTTTCAGAAGTAGTTTTGTCTGCCTAAGGTTGGTTATCCCTTGTTGTTGTTGGTTGACGTTTTCTGTCAACCTGCTGTCAACTATCAATTAAATTATCCATACATATGACAGGTGACTTAACCTAAATTTTGACACTAGTTACGATATCTTTTGTTTGTCACCAAAAACCAACCTAACCAAATTTATGACAACCTATTCACAAATATTCCTAAATCCTAGAGAGTAATTTCTTATTGATACGACAATAGTTATTTTTTTTTAAGATTTTTATTATATTTTTTGCCACTACTTCATAGCTTTTACATTTTTTAGTTTTTGTTGCTCTAAAACAATTAGAAAAAATTTAACAAATAAACAGTCTATTTTGCGAAATATCCTGTCGAAATAAGTGCGGTTTAATTGTCTACAGTTTTGATTTTTTTATTGTTTTTCATAAAGCTACAATATAGTTAAAAAACCACTAAAACTGTTTTTCAAACTGAAAAATTCATGATTCACTTTTAGTTAATCTAAAGCAAATCGATAAAAAATGTCAAACTTGTATTAAGTCAAAAGTGAAAATACACAATGATCTGTTATTTTTTGTCTTTGTTTAAATAATAATAAGACACATTATGCTATCCCTCTTCAAGAGTGACCAAAACTTTATGTTAGTTATAAAAAACTTATTTGAAATTGCGAATTTTGTTTTTAAATAAATATTTTCAGTAATTATTATTAAAATCTAAACTAACCAAAATAATTTAGAAAACATTTTTATAATACATCTCTTTTATTTTTAACTAATAATAATTGTCAAAGACTCAAAAAATGAACAATGTAATAATAAAGACAATAGAAAACAAATGAAAAAAGTGTAAAGATGAATATAGGGTACGCCAGAACTCGCGCCCAAGAGAAAATTTTCAACTAAGGTAAAGTAAAGTATCAGGAACAAAATTCTATCTGTCAAAAAATTTTGACATTTATTTTTTGACATTTAACATTTTTTTATATCTATTTAAGGATACTGATGATCTTGTATGTTTTTTACAATTATTTAGTAAAGGGACAAAAATCTTGCCAAAAACTTCGAAATTTTTATAGATAATTTTTTTTAACATTTTTTCCATGTACCTTATGTCTATTTAATGACACTGATGATCTTGTATATGTTTTTTTTTAATTATTTAGTAAATGGACAAAAATTTTGCCAATAAAAGACACAAATAACATTGAACAGAGTTACAATTTAGGATATATCTTCCTTATTTCCTCTTTTAATAGCCTATAGGAAAAAAACTTGGAAAATTATTTTTCCAACAGAAATAAATAGAGTCAAAGTGCAAAATTTAAACACTCACAACTTCGAAATTTTTATAGATATTTTTTTTAACATTGTTTCCATGTACCTGGTATCTATCTTACCTTATATGGCATTTTTCTCTGGGGCACGAGTTCTGGCGCATCCTGTATATGTTTTTTTTTATAAATATTTAGTAAAGGTACGAAAATTTTACCAATAAAAACCACAAACAACATTAAACGGAGTGACAATTTAGGATACAGCTTCCTTGTTTCCTCTGTAGCAAAAAAAACTTGGGAAATCATTTCAGAAATAAACAGAGTCAAAGTGCAAATTTAAATTGTCATAGCTTCGAAATTTTTCTAGATAGAACTTTTTCCATTTTTTCCTCTAGGGCCCGAGTTCTGGCACACCCTGTATGTTAGCATTTTTCTACCAACTTTCATTGAGTTGGTGGCCAACTTTTTAAGCACCCTGTATAGAAATAAGCGATCTAAAGCTGCCACATTTTCAAATATCAGCTTCTTGTTAAAAGAGAAAAACTAAAAATTGTTGAGTTGAAGATTAGTAATTTTTTTTTGTGAGTTAATTTTTGATTTGGAGAACTTCAGGTCAATTTTGCACATGCGAACCAAATTAATGGTTTATTTAGCGTTGTTGACAAGAAAAAATCCGTATTATATGAGAAGTAATAATAAGAAGAGTCGTAAAAGTGGCCATTATTGGTGTTTAATTTATTACGTGACATGGATGCCTAGTTTGGCCCCGGCCTCCGGCGTGTCAGAAATTGGATATCGACGTTTCAGACCCGATTTAGGTGAGAAAAACAAAAAGTTGAAGCAATTTTTAGCCATTATTATTATTACAAAATAAGGAAATAAAAGTTTTGTGAAATGTGTGGTCGTCTTTCATTGCTGAAATAGAAAAAACACCTATTGTCTGTAAGAATAATAGAGCTAATGGAATGTACTTTTTCAACTTTGCGCAAAGTAATGTCGCGAAATGTTAAAGTTTGATGAAGGTTGATTTTTAGTCATACTCTTATTGTGACTAGTTTCTTTTACTTTATCCAACATAAAAAGCACCAAAACTTCGAGTTTTTCGACAAAAATTGTATTAACTTTTATTACGTTTTCTTCTACGAAGTAAAGTACTAAGTAATTGTAATTAGTTGCGCTAATTTTCCTTTTTTCTTACCGACATAGTAAAAGTTTATAATAGTTTGAAGTAAAGATTTAAATTTTAAGTGCAATTAAGAATTTAATGGTGCAGAAATCCCAAAAGGAGACAAAGTTAGATAACAGCAGCAAACATCGGATGTATTAGGTGCTGTGAGAGATGAGAAAAAATGCGATTTGGCAGAAACGAGATTAGCGTCTTTGGGAAAAACAACGCGTCGATAATGGGTTGGGGCGATAAATTTTCGATAAATCTATTCAGCATAAAATTTGCAAAAGTTGAGTTTGTGTTCTACATAAAGTTTCATTTGACAAATTAAAATTGTAAAAACAAATAAATTCACTACATTTTTTTTCACACAGTGAATTTACAAAAGCCACGAATGAAAAACACAAGTACACATTTCCCAGCAATTTTTTTCAGTGTAAGTGAGATGAGCTCAAAAGACAATAGAACCACTCGCTACTGTGCAATAATGAACATGAGTTGTAAAACACAATTTTCAATAGAACAAAAGATTTCAATTCTAAAACACTATTAAAACAAGCTTATCTGTTTTTGAATTAGAAATGTCCAATTACTTAATTGACATAATTAAAATATAGAGAGGATCACGAGTTGCGACCTATATTATAAAGCTTTTAAACAATACTCAAAATTCCTCAAAAACTCAAAAATCTATTTTACCATCACTTAAACTGAAATGAGAGAACAAAAAGACAAGAGCAAACGATTTCTGCTCAAACAAAAGTTTATAATTAATGACATTGCTCATTTATTTTTAAATCAAAAAAAGTTTATTATTGTAGTTTAATCAATTCAATAATAATTAATAACCACTTATTAAAAATTGATTTTTGGTTATTTTAAAAATTTGATCGAATTTATGCAAACAATCGCTAAAATAAATTAACTTATCTTTTAGTCAATAAATGTAAAATTTTTATTTTTTAGTTCAATCTATTGCAATTTTCAAATGAAAATGTCTTTTTGTCTAGAAAAATGTCCCAACGCATCCACCATTTTTCTTTAAAAATTTGTAAACTCAATTTATTTCAAGAATCTTGAATCTATTAATAAAAATAAATCTACAGTATGTCCCCGGATTAAGTTTACAAAAAAAAAAAAATTATCTTTGATTTTACGCCAAAACTGCAAAAGAAAAACATTTTTTGCTTCACGTGAAACGAGCAAATCTATGTATAATTAAAACTTCATTATTCTGACTCAGTGGAATAAAGAGTTTATTTTTTTCTTGATTTTAGACTTATAATTATTTTTCTCTTTACTTTTTTTTACTTTTTTGACCACGATGTCACTGTGACAAATAAGTTTACGCAAGTTAAATAACAATAATGTTGGTGAAAAATATAATATTAATAAACGGCAACTCAAAAAAACAGCTTTAAGATAAAAAATACAAAGTCATTTTTAACAACAATTAATTAATTGTCAAAGTGACATCGTTGTCAAAAAAATTAAACCACCAATGTGTTAAGAGTTATAAAGCAGAAAAAAAATATAAGTCCAAAATCAAAAGAAAAATAAACTTTTTTTCCTAATGAATCAGAATAATAAAGTTTTAATTACTCAAACTTCCTCAAAAACCTATTTTATCCATCATTTAAAATAGAATGTAAGAACAAAAAAGACAAGAAATAAGTGGTAGCAAACGAAAGATTTCTGCTCAAATAAAAGTTTATAATTTCAGATAAAAAAAAGTTTATCAATGTAGTTTTAATTAATTAAGTCAATATTAATAATTAAAAACCACTTACTGAAAATTGATTTTTGGTTATTCTAAAGATTTGATGGAATTTATGCAATCACCAGAATTCTACATGTTACTCAAACTAGTTTTTCTTTTAGTCAATAAATAAATTTTTTTAATTTTTTGGTTTAATCTAGTGCAATTCTAAATAATGAAAAATTTTTTTTGGCTAAAAAATATCCCGCGCATCCACCATTTTTCTAACTAATTGTTTTCAAGAATCTTGATCTATTAATACAAATACAACGTCAACTCACTTTAAACAACAATTATAAAAAGTCCAATTTTTGGTATTATAAAAAAGTATATGGTAATTTAGGTAAATACTAACCTCTGATTTTTTATTAATTTTGATTTAATTTTAGAAAAAAACAAGTGTCTTCAACTAGAAAAGAACGATTTTCTCTAATTTTTAATTTTTTGTAATTTTTGTTGTACAATCTAGTTTTATGTTCACTGCGAAGTTTTTGTATTTGGATTATATTACTAATCTTGATTTATTTTTTCAATTTTTTAATTTTTTTACAACTATGTAAATTATTACTGTATTATAAAACAATAAATTAATGCATAAGTAACTTAGATAAATTATAATTTTGGTTAAAATTATTCATTTCATATTTATTTTCTGCAAATGCAAATTTGCGTTTTGATGTGACAAATTCACTATTTTTAATTCCAACTTGAGGTAATTTCGTATATTTTGAAAAAAAGAAGTGTTTGCGTTGATGGAACAGCAAAAACAAGTTGCTTTCGAGACATTCCGACTTATTTGTGTAACGCAGTCAACATCTCCCCATTATTTGGCCTCACACAATTTCCCGATAAACCCCTAATAATGATGTCATTTGAAACATAATTCGACAATCCCTCGATCTGATATCACTAAAATTTAGCAATTTATTTCGGAGAAAAACACAAAACGCCCAACACACATCATTAGTATCCTCGGTTTGGAGAGAAAATGTTTTGTTTGTTTAAAGCACTCTAAAGTTTATTGCATATAATTCAGAGAGGATTCTATTGGCGAAAAAGCGTCACTGTTTGACAAATCGAGTGTCACGTCTTCTTGTATTATGTAACAAACTGGGTTCGCATCCGAGAAGTTAAAAATTGTTTTGTTGTGCAAATAATACACTTTTAATTTATATTTTAGTTTCACGAATTTTATTTCATTCCTCGCTACTACGAGTACTGGTGTCGGATATCGAACAATATTGGCTTCCTATAATGTACCTAATCTCATTAGGAAGGTAGCTGAAATTATTCAAGTTGCGCTCTATAAAGTAAAATCTGTTTTCATTACAACAAATTTTATCAAAAACAAGCAAAAAACATTAATTTTGCTAAAGTACACTAAAAAATTACCAAAATGGCACAGTTTTTTATTTTTTGAGCGTTTTAACGCGCATTTCAGTCAAAAACGAAATTATTTCACCTAAAATAAGCAAATTTTTCAAAAGCATAATGAAATTTTAGAGGTTTAAAATTGAGTCAAAATAATAGAATTCTTATATTTTTTGAGCAAAAACGTCCCAAATTTTGTCTAAAACAAGCCGAAAAAGCATTTATAAGCAAGAAATTTAATTTTTTTTTTGAAAAATTTTGCTAAACTAGGCTCAAAAATAGCCACACTTGTCGGAAAATAGCACAACTTTTGCTTTTTTAAGATCTTAAGCACGTCTTATGCTACAAATTCATTTCTAAATCGAAAAATTCGTTAAATTATAATACTCGTAATAAATAATATAAAAAATCAAAACCATGACACATAAAACACAAAAATTTTAGAATCACTACACATTTTTCAAGTGTAATTCAGAAAGCGTAAGATATATTTCAGAAAGCGTAAATTGAAATTCAGATTAGTCAATTGTATTTCAGAAAGTGTTAGTTGTAGTTCAGAATTTGTCATTTGTAATTGAGAATTTGTCAATTGTAATTCAGAATTCGTTATTTTCATTTAAAAATTACATTACCAAAATTCCTTTGAAAATAAAATATCTTATTTATTCTGTAAAATGGCAAGTTTATGTACTTTTTTTAATTCTGAAAATAAAATAATTCGTGTTTAAGTATAAACTTCATTTTGAGATAACAGTAAGTTACTCATCTGAATTACAATTGATATTTTCTGGACTACATGTAACATGAAATTGAGTTTATTTACTGTTCTGAATTACATGTATAATAGTTTCTGAATTACAATTATTACTTTATGAAATACAATTGACTTATCTGAATTCCAATTTATGCTTTCTGACATTAAATTAACTAATCTGAATTACATCTCAAGGTTTCTGGAACTCATTTTACTCTTTTGAATTACAATTAACACTTTTTGAAAGACATTTGACTAATCTAAATTTCAATTTACCCTTTCTGAAAATAAATTGGCTAATATAAATTACATGTGATGGTTTCTGAATTACAACTTGAAAAAGGTGTAGACGTAATAACGAAAATATTTAGGGCCAAGTAAAGCCCCAAGACATTGTTATTTTTGTCATAATTAAAAACACTAAGAAGTTGTACCCAATTTTCCTTCATGAAACGTGTTTTGTTTGAACGTTTAATGCCCGTTGGGATTTACCACTCAAGGTTTCTCTAAGTCCTTCAGCTTTTCTCTTCATTGTCTTTCACAACCCCTTAGAATAAAAATATCCACTTTGAAGTAAAATTTTAAGACACTCACAAATAATATTTAATTTTTTTTTCATTTTAATTTCCTCAAGAGTGACAAAGTTTCAAAACTCATAAATCTCAAAACTAACCCAATTACGTTTTCTCCTCCGCACAATTTAATTAACGAATTTATAATAGTTATAATTAGGCGTTAATTAAGCCACGTGTTCATTAAAGTTTAATCAACGAGAAACTAAACACATTAACGTCCTTTAGCCCAGATCAGCTTAAATTATCTTTTCCTTGTTTCTCAGTTATGTATTGTAGTTCCCACAACTGAATTCGTAGAATTTTCAAAGAGATCAAAGTAAGTTATGACTTTGAAATTAAGTTGGCAACACCGATAAACGACAATTTGACGTTTGAGTTTGACGCCAACTTAATTTCAAAGTCATAGGACACTTCAATTGCGTTTATCAAGGTTATGTTGGCAGTGGAAATGTCATAAATGACAGACAGGTGTCAAATATTGTTGATTTTGTTTAGAACAAAAATTATCTTTTCCTTGTTTCTCAGTTATATATTGTGGTTCTCACAATTGAATTCGAAGAATTTTCAAAGAAATCAAAGTAAGCTATGACTTTGAAATTAAGTTGGCAACACCGATAAACGACAATTTAACGTTTGAGTTTGACGCCAAGTTAATTTCAAAGTCATAAGACACTTCAATTGCGTTTGTTAAGGTTATGTTGGTAGTGGAGATGTCATAAATGACAGACAGGTATCAGATATTGTTGATTTTGTTTAGAACAAAAATTATCTTTTCCTTGTTTCTCAGTTTTGTGGTTCCCACAACTGAATTCGTAGAATTTCCAAAGAAATCAAAGTAAGCTGTGACTTTGAAATTAAGTTGGTAACACGAAAATTTGACAGCCAACTCAATTTCAAAGTCATAGGACACTTCAATAGTGTTTATCAAGGTTATGTTGGCAGTGGAGATGTCATAAATGACAGACAGATGTCAAATATTGTTGATTTTGTTTGGAACAAAATTGAATAAAACAACTTTTATTTATTGTGTATTTATTAATTGAAAATTGTAATCTCTACAACTCCTTTTTATATAAAAATCTAACAAATTTCATCTGCGTTCGCGTTCAAACTTCTCAAAAAACTCAAAGGGATTACGATTTCAGACCCAATTTATTCAAAGTAGAAGCCCGAAGAAACTCATCGCATCACATAAAAGTGCTTGTAGAAGCGTACCTACTCGTATTTCAAAATCACTTTAACCACTGTCAAAACATTTCAATTTTTCCCTAATCTCGGTCACGAAACCCAAAATGGCCGCCACATTGATTTACCAAAAAAAAAATAATTAATGACATTTGTTCATCTCATTTTCCCACCACCCTTCAAAGACAAATCATATAATTGGAACGAATAATAAAAAGTAGTCGGCGGTGGGAATCGTTACCATGACGATATAAAAAAAAGAGTATCGAAAAACGTGACACGTGTGGTTGCCTTGCAAATTAATGCCTCGGCCTTGATTGATCGAAACGTCGCATAAATTTAGTTAATTAAGTTGGCGTGGAAGAATGGTGGATGCGCCGGGGAAACACCGAAGCTTCAAGGTCGCGGCGCGAAACTCAACCAAGAAAAAACTCTACCTTGGAAGTGATGATAAATATCCATTTATTGGCACTGTAATCACTGCCACCAAATTTTCGGTGCTGTTTTTCCCCGATGATTTTTATTGATGTTTCATCGCGTTCGATTTTTCTAGCGCAAAACGCGAACCCCCGACGAACGTTCGCTGCCACTGAAAGGGTTTCACGCTTTCATCCCTCTTACGCAATAGGAAATCGGACTGCGCATGCGTCCGTGCCTGATGACACTGTTTCCGTTGAGAAAAATCGCAGAGAAAATAAGAGGGAAAGAAGTGTGATGTATGTTGCTTCAAATCGACGGGGGTTTACCGCCCTCGGGGGCGTTTAAACTCGGATTTCGCCGCGAAAACGAAACGGTGAGTTATGACTAGCTCTTCCAGTTCTTTACTTCAAATTTCAACAAAATAGCGTTTTTTCAATCACGTGTATAGAATTTTATTTTTTTGATATTATTTAAATTTTAAAGTTTTCAAAAATCCCGGGCATTTTGACACTTGACATTAAAAATCACTGTGAAGCCAGCTTTAACGTTAAATTTGACATTTCAAAATATATAAAACGTCAAAATGACAAGAACATGACTGAGTGAGGTTATTATCTAAGAGCCGTTTCACATGAATGACCTTGGTGTCCCATTTTTTTTGTCCGCAAAGGTATATACGAATATGTCGTAAATAACCAACTCTTAAACTAAAATCCCCAGTTTACCAGTTTAAAATTCTTGACACTTTCTCAAAATCACTGTGAAGCAGGCTTTAATGTCAAATTGACATTTCAAAACCTCCAAAACGTCAAAGTGACAGGAACGTCACTGAATGATAAACTTAAAATACGGTTATTATCTAAGGGCCGTTTCACATATAATGTCAACCTTGCTGTCCCATTTTTTTATCCTCAGTGAAGTTGCCGATCGAGCAACAGAAAAAAACATGAGTTCAATCTCTTTGTAAATGAATTAAATTATCTTTTTCTCGTTTCTTCAGTTTGCACAGCTATGTCACAACTGAATTCATTAAAATTTTTCAAATGAATTAAAGTGAGCTGCGACTTTGAAATTGAATTGGCAACACCGAATAAATGACAATTGACTATAAAAGTGTGACGTTTGAGTTTGACAGTATACATACATATGTTGTCAACTTAATTTCTAAGTCATAGGATAATTAGATTGCGTTCAATTTGAGAAAAGAAGCTAAATTCTTTGAAAAATATTTTGTTTTTGGCATTTTGAATAAAGTTAGTCGAGGTTATGTTGGCAATGGGGATAGTTGGAAACAAGTCACATACGAAAAATTGACACTAGCACTGATATAAGAATGTCATAAATGACAGACAAGTGTCAAATTTTGTTACTTCAAAGTCTCCAAAACGTCAAAATGACGGGACGTTAAGTTCGAAATGAGATTATTATCTAAGGATAGTTTCACATACAGGGTGCACCAGAACTTGCGCCTCAGAGAAAAATGTCATATATGGTAAGATACCAGAAACATGGAAATGAGGGTTTAATTTGTTGGAAAAATAATTTTCCGAGTTTTTTTACTACAGGCTATTAGAAGAGGAAACAAAGAAGCTGTATCCTAAATTATAACTCTATTTAATGTTATTTGTGGCTTTTATTGGCAAAATTTTTGTACCTTTACTAAATAATTATAAATAAACATATACAAGAACATCAGTATCATTAAATAGACATAAAAAATGTCAAATGTCAAAAAATAAATGTCAAAAATTTTTGACAGAGAATTTTTTCCTGCTATCTTATCTTACTTGAAATTTTTCTTTGGGGCGCGAATTCTGGCGCACCTGTTTAATGTCAACCTTGCTGTCCGCAATGAAGTTGCTGATCGAGCAATAGAAAACTGAAAAAACATAGGTTGGAAAATGGCTACTTCCCAACTTCTCACATTATTTTTGCCCTCGACTGTACAAAGAAAACAAAAGAATCAATCCTGAATTATTTTGTTTTTCATCCACATCATGAAAAAACAATTACCGGAAAGGGTCCTAATTTTTTGATGTACCTAAGACATTTTATGGCACAAACACTTTGAGTAATAATAAAATAATAACATTTTGAATAATAACACTCTCTATTTAAAGCACAAACACAACAACATTAACACGCACCAAAATTACCAATCTAAGAATACAAAAGTACTAACACAATACCGGGAGACTGTAAATCTCTGTGATGTTTATCATCAACTTGACATCAAATTTTAGCAATGTTGACTCTCAAACTTTGATAAACAATTGTTGTTCGTTTGTCATATAACAAATTAGAATAAATCAATAATTCAGCGTTGCTAATAAATTTTGGTCACAAACATTTATAGTCACCCGATAGGTTATTTATTTAAATAAATGTGACATTTATTATTATCTGCTTCAGATTTCTTGATGCAAACTTTATTCTTTTAATGTTTATTTGTTATGAAACGCCACAATCCGAAAATTATTAACTCAAAAACATAAAACACATTAACACAATCACCAACTCTAAAATACAAAAAGCACTAACATAAATACAAGATAATGTCTGTGTACAAAAAATACAAAAATTATGAAAATAATAATAGTTTTATTTCACTTCACTTGTTTGTTTTCTGTGTGAACACAGTTAAGTGCAAAAAAACGGAATAATTGTTATTTTTCCGATAATATTGGTAAAAACGTCCAAATGGCGTGTCATTACTTTATACTATATAATTATTTAGAGTTTGTTTTCGTTTTTACATCAAAAATAAATCAATGATGGGTATATTCTTATTTTACTGAAAAGTCCATCATGACTGATAGCAAATCAGTGTTAATAAACCCCAATCTGTTTAAAACGTTGCTACCACTAATAAAATTATCACAAATTTTCGGTTTGTGTCCCATAACTTATAAAAAATCTAATAATTGTGTATTTTTTCGAATAAAATGGTCGTGGAATTTGCACGCCTTGCAATTAATTGCAGTAACTGTCATAAGTAGTAATTAACAAAATTTGATTTTGGTTGAAACTGTTTTATTTTGTAGCAAGTTGGGCTCTTTGGGGCTTCATCAAAGACATGCAAATTGCCGAATTTCTCAACTTGGGCTTCACAAGCTCCATTGATCTGTACATTGCGATTTTCGACGTCACCGAAATCATTATTACCGGATTTACTTTCGTTGTAACAATCCCATCAACGTTCAAACACTTGCCAGAAATCATCGACAATTTCAATAAAATCGACGAGATAAACCCGTCACAACTTTCTGTGGACAAAATTCGCAAAAAAATCGTGTTTTTATTGTGCTTTGTGCTAATTTATATGACAGTGGCGTACACTTGCGATTTAATAATGTGGAGTCAAGACTTGTTGGTGGGATTCATTCATGATCTTCCCTATTACATCATGTACAGTGTTGTGGTGATTCATGAGGCCCAGTATTGGTTTTTAGAGACTTTGATCCGACTTAGAATCAGTGGAATGAATAGAATTGTTGAAACCTTTATCCAAAAAGGCAGGTTTTTGCATTCATGAAAAAAAATCAATAAAAAAATCAATCCGTTTCTAGAATTAAGTTCTCAAGAAGTGGGTTTGTGGGTACAAACACATTCAAGTATTTTGGAGGCTATTAGTGCAGTCAATAAGTGCTTCAGTGGCCCCACTACGGTTTGTTAAAAAATTGCTTTTGAAAAATTTTAATGCATTTGTATAATTGGTTGCCTACAGTAGAAAATAATTTCTACATTTTTATATTTAATTATGCAATAATTTTGTTTGTAGATAATATTGTTTAGTCGTTTTTTTTTTTAACTATGAGTGCGGTCAATAAATGCCCCACTGCTGTTTCTTTATTAATTATTGTAATGCGTGTATATTTGGTTGCCTGCACAAAAAAATATTTTTTAAAATTATGCATTTATCTTATAGATAATACTTCTTAGTTGTTACATACACTTGGTCGTTTGTCCTTACATTCTCTACGTAGTGGCAAGTAGTGGCAATGGCCTATTTTGCAACACAGTTTACTTTCTCTGGATTTCAGTCCACTTTTCACGACTATTGGCAATCATCGAAGTTTGCAGCAATTGTGAAAACGAGGTTTGCATTTCAGCCACAATTGTGACAATTTTTCACTTTAAATTGTAATTTTAGTGTCACAAAACCCGTAATTTGATTTTTAAATTACTCGCAAATAAAAGTATGAAAAGGGACGTTCGTAAAGAAGTAATTAAGTGAGTTTGGTAAAACAACTAATCAGAAGTTCTTTAATTACAGTTGAAACTATTCGCATACAAAAATGTTGGGAAAAAAGTCAGATTTGCGTCATATGCTGTTCCAAAGATTAATCGGCGACTTTTGATTTCGGTATATTTTTTAACTTTTGTAACACATTTTATTACAAATTTTACAGATTGCAACTTCAATTAGTTCCTACTGGATGATTTTGTACCAATTTGGGCCTAGCAAAAATAAATTATAAAAAATATTCATTTTAAAATTACCGGTAATATAAATACCTGTTAGTCCGGTACCTATTTTATAACTGACCATTGAATTATTAAATAAATTGTTCTCATACAATAGAAAAAAAGCAATACTGGACAATTTTGTACCAATTTAAGGCTAGCTCAAATGAATTACAAAAAAAAATGCATTTTAAAAGTACCGGTAATATAGATATCTGTTAGCCCCACACCTATTTTATTCAATTATTAAACTATTGAATAAATTGTAATAATATAAGAATAAACAAGGCAGAATTTATTTAAAATTTGCACACGTGTTGATTATTCCTTAAGTTATGTCGAAAAGTCGGTACGACGAGTACAGTTTCCTGTTTTGCACGTGACGTCACTTGTCTAACATTTTCGTTAAAATTGTGACAAACACGCTTTCACCCTAATTTAATTAAAAAACTCTTCGTTGAAAGTACGAAGAAATCGCCCAATTATCAATAACTACATTCAAAAAATTTAAAAGTTGAATTTAAAATTAGGTATCAATCGGTAACGCCATTTTGTTTTACCGACAGTTCAGCAACTGGTAAGTTTATTTATTTTCTTACCGATTGTACCAAAATTGAAATTTTGACAAAATTCGAATGTTTCCTGAAACAAAGTCATGAAATTGTGCCCCCATGATTGCAAGATTAAGTCGCAAGAGTCACTTTTGTACCCCCCCCTGATTTTCAGAGAGAAAATGTCGGAAAATAACCTACAATTGGACGAGAACACTACACATTTCATTTATGGGGACCAAGAGTACATTCTGGATCAAGGCCCGATCAATCCGGAACTCAGAGACGTAAGTAAGTTGTGTGAAAATTTTCATTTATGTTTCATTTTTGGGTTTCAGTTGATTTGCAATGAGGGCCCCAAAGCGATACTAGTAGACGGCCAGTATATCCTTACTGACAGTAATACGATTCTTCTACAAGGGGGCGACACGAATTTGACCCAATTTTACATCAATGACGGGAATGAAGCCGGTTTTGTGATTGATGGAGGGGACAGTTCGGTTAATAATTTATTTCAAAACGCCGAGTGTGTGCAATTGGTTGAAGAGGACACAAATGACGTGCAACAAATCGTTTATTACACCAACGAGGAGTTGAGTAATGAAGCATTTACACCAGTGCAGGAATTGAGTGAAGAAGGTGACATTCAAGGGATTCAGGACGAAGACGGGAATATTTACCCCTTCAAGAGGATCAAACTGGAAGGACAAATGCTAAATTTTGATGAATTTATCCAAAAAGAAGAAAGTAATGAGGAAACGAGCGACGAAAAGTGAGTTTTTCGGTTTTATTGTATTGTTGGTTGCCTAACTTGTAATTTTAGTATTCAATTTACAATTTTGGAGGACCAGTCTGAGTTAAGCAATGTTGAAGGCACGTCTGAGACTGATTCATCGACGAAAACAACCGAAAATGAAATCTCCGACTTGGCAAAAATCACAGGTCGGAATCTAATAACTGGTCAAACAGTAACTCTTCATAGTTACATGGAAAAGTTAAAAAAACGGTTACACAAAACAAGTTTACACAAAACCCCAGGTCGAAAAATCTACAACGACGAGGTGCGTAAACCCGAAATTACCGACCTTGTTGATAGAAAAATCCTCATCGGAAAAACGAAAACCGGGAAGAAAATCATGGGAAAAATCTTAAGCGTTGATCGGAAACATTCAACCCCCGAGCCTGAAAACGAGACCACAACCACTCCAGAGCCCGAAAATTTAGAAATTCATGAGAAAGACACAACAATAGAAACGCCCCCAGTCACTGACCCCCCCGTGAACCAAATAATAATAAAAACGAGTGTCGTAGCAAAGGAGAGTTTCGAACAAATTTGTAAAACTTTGAGTGGTGTTATGGAAATGGAATCGGTTAGGAAAAAATTAGAGAAAAAAAATCTTGTAGTAAAGTTAGTTGAAAAGAAATATGTTAGTGAGAGTGATTCATATGAGAAAAAGACGTCGCATAGTTATGGTTTTATGGAGAAGGAGGTGGAGGATGGGGAGGAGAAGTGGAAGTTTGTGCCGGATGCGGAGACGCAGGAGGTGCTCCTGGGGGAAGAAGAAGAGGGCGAGAAAAAAACAGCGTAAGTATACAATTTATCCGGGGTACGATCTTTTTGAATCACACTGTATAAAAATATACAGGCTGATTCATATAAAAAGGACTCTACGTAAATTTGTATGAAGGAACAAGTAATTTTTGTTTATTTGCTTGAAGAAGCATTTCCGGACCATGTCCATAGGAACTTTTTTTCTTATTTTGACCTAAGGAATCATCCCACGAAATATTTTACCGTTTTTTTTTTGACGATCAAAAAAGATCGGATAATCTCTTATTTCGTGATAGAAAACTTTAATAGAAGCTTAGAATTGCTTTTAAAAATTTTCTACGCCGCATGGTTTTGAAAATATGAATATTTAAAGCAGAAATTGGCAACGCAGCAGTACATTTTGAACCACCTTGTGCCTGTACTTAATAAATTGAAACGTTTGTTACTATAGAAACCAACAAATTTGTGCTGTTGCCAACTTTGCAGAAAATCTCTACATTTGACTTAAGGTTTTATTATTTTTTTAATATTCTAAATGCAGGTTTTAACGTCTCTTACTAATAAAATTAACTTCCTTTTGTAATTTTGAATGTAATTTAATGGTTTTAAAAAACAACCGAGTGTTTGCACAGTTACGGAATTAAAATTTCGGGCAGTATTTTTCTGTCACTTCAAAAAATTCACTGTAAACTACCTTTTGCTGTCATAATGACATTCATGACTAAGATTTGACAATTAAACATTTCTGTCAGTGACGCTATTTTTTAAGTTAAAATGACATAAACATGACAAGAGTAAAAAATAAGGTTATTAATGTAAAGATTGTTTTAGAGTTGACATTGTGAAAATGACAATACTGCCCGAAATTTTAATTCCGCAACTGTACGTTGCTTTTGAATCACGCTGTATAAAAATATACAGTTGGAGACAAAATACTTTGGTCGTTACTTTTCTGACACTTTAATGTAATTCAAGCTTTAACGTTAAAATGAATGACATTTTCAAATTAATGACAGCTATTATATTCCTATCAAAAATATGTACATACAACTTGTCGACTATGATTGACAGTAGCTAAAAATAAGGTTAACAGTCCTAAAGCATGCTTTACAATTTAATGTCACTCAAGTGACATTGTGTTCAACTGTACAGTCTGATTTACATAAAACAATTTTGGCCAATATTAAAAAAGGAGAAAAACAGCAACTAGCTGAAATTTTGAGTTATCCAGAATTAGATAATAATTTTTGGCTTTTTAATTGGGAAAAATCTTAACTACAGTTTGTCCAAAAAAAAAATTGAAAAGAGTTGGGTTGAAAAAAAGTATTCTTCCTGTTGAAACATCACACGAAATATTTTAACTTTTTTTCGGGGACAACTGTATACACAGGATTTTGATTGATGTTATTTTAGGCCAACTGTGTAAATAATTTCTGTAATTTGGTTACACTAAAAATTTGTCATTTTCAGTCGATTCACCATCACCACCAGCCTCACAATCCTTGTGACGTATGAAAAGGGCGGAGCTAAGACAGTCCGTGTGAATCTAAACCCCGCCCCTGGTAATTTATGTACAGTGTGTGCCCAATATTTCAAAAGCAATTTGAAACTTCGCCAACACATGAATCAGGTTCACAACACCTACGGTTACAACAGCACTTGCAAGGCCTGTGACCAGTTCTTCAATGATCCTCAAAAGTTCAAAGAACATTGCAAACAGCACATCGAAAATGGTGAACTGTTCAATTGTTCCGAATGTGACAAGTGTTTTCCCTCTGAGGTCAAACTCAAGAAACACTTTGCTATTCACGACGTCCATTTGCGTCCTCTAGAGTGCTCCGTTTGCGAAGTGCGGTGTGCGAATGAGACAACGTTGAAAAAACATTTAATGACACATATGGGGGTGAAGCCTTACGCGTGCGATATTTGTAGTAAACAGTTTATGACGCATTATGATGTGAATTTTCACCGGAGAATTCATTTCCCTGATAAGAATTTCACGTGTCATGTTTGTGGTAGAACGTTTTCGAGGCATTCGAATTTGTTGAGACATACAGAGATACATAAGGGGACAGGAGCGCTGTTTAAGTAAGTAAGGGGGCTGTTGGAGCGACAATTAATTCATCATTCCAGGTGTGATATTTGTGGTTGTTCGTTCAATTATATTTCTTCGTTGACGAGGCACGTGGTGCAGAATCACATCGATGCTGATAAATTGAAAAAGGTTGTTAATGACAAGGAGGAGGAGGAAGAGGAGGAGAAATAATTTTTTTTTACTTCGGTGAGCGAAATAAAACTTTACTAAAAATTTATTGTTTCATGGTCCTATAAACACCAAATAGTAGCACAAAATGGCATAAATGTAACAAGGCACTTGACAGGTCCGTACTGGGATAAACATTCCAACAATACTCCAAAAGGCCCAACAATAGAAACATAACAGGGCGTCTAAATCCGGTACAAAAAACCAAATACAATAAACTATGAAAATACCAACTGTAAAACTGGTAATGTAACGAACGAGCAAAAACAATCCCAATCAAATTAGTAACAAAAAATGGTAAAACAAACAATTGAGTCACTTTACTCATCTTGTCCTCAAACTTTGACTCTTCATTTTTCACCTCCCTACCCCCTTTGATTTGTTTTTCGAAACTTTCCAAAAACGCCCGTTGTTCTTTACTCAATTTCTCGTCTTCTTTTTGTCTTTTGCGTCTCTCGTCGTGGAGTTGTATCTTGACTTGATCCGTGACTAGTTTTAATTTCGCATAACTGCTCAAATAGCGTTTCAAAAGGGGGGCGAAAACCAGGAGGAGCAAAATATGACATGACAAAAGACCCAAATGCAAGAGTCGACTTTCAAAAATTTCGCGGGGCAAAAAACGGTAATTTACGGTCCACTTGTGCTCGAAAACGCGCCCCAAATCGAAACTTCCCTTCAGATAAGACCAAGGATTGGTGTATAAAAAGGGGGCCCCTAGTATCAACTGTACCAAACCACATATAAACAAATTTAGGATTGTTTCAACAAGTGTCAGGTTTGTTAAATAAGCGACTAGGAGACAAGGGGCGTATAGTAAAATGTTCATTTTGATTGAGACGGCGAGGGAGTAGAAAAAACTCCCAATAAACCACCGATTTGAAATAAATAGATTTAGACTTATGTAAAATAGGAGTACAGCAATTGGGTCATTGAACAGTCGTAGGACGTAAATAGAATGTATGCGATATGAGGTCAAAGTCGTCAAAATGAGCGCATAAGGGGGTATTTTAACTGTCTTTATAAAAATTCGATACGTTAGAAGTGTTTGGGTTAAATATAACACCAGGAAGATGTACTGGGCCAAATAAAGGTTACTCCCTTGTGATGTAACTTTGTAAAAAAGTGAGTAAACATAGACAAAACCAGCGGGGTAGACAAGGGGGCCCGTATCACCTAAAAACACAAATGTAACACTGATTTTTTTCAAATTAAAGTACCTTTCAACTCCTTGTAGTCCCAAGTACCGTTCATGAACCCCTCAACTTCCTGCATGTAGGCCTTCCAGTCAATTTCCGTGTATTTCACTTTTTCGATTATAAAAATGTTCAAAATTATTTCAAACAGGAAGAGGAGACAACACGTGGGTGTCAAGTAATGGGGGTCGTAGACGTACTTTCGTAAATTGTCCATTGTGAAAAAACCGGGGCTTAACCCGGATTTGGGCGGCTTATTTTTAGTCGGAGCCATCGCAAACTGCACATTTTGAGGTTAGATCGGGCTTGACAAACACCAACATGACCAAATGAAAAATACCAAAAGCATTTTTTGCCCGGGATTTTTGAAACACAAACCCTGAATTAAATAAATACTATATTTCGACAATAAATTAATCAGTTAATAAAAATCTGTAAAAATAACGGATACGTGTTAGACTAGCTACTGTTATTATCACGTTAAGTACCGCTAAAAAGCAACGAAACGGCACTCAAGACCAATTATTGTCTCGAAACAATCAAAAAATCTTGGTCCTACTCTATATCACGGAAATGCTAAATCTACGCTTCTGACTGCATCAATCGTGTGTTGATCTCAGACTCATCAACGAAATTAATCCCTGTGAGTTTTTCTTGTTCTTCGGCCTCTTGTAGCCATTGCGCAATCTCAGATATGTACATGTGACGTTGAAGTACGTCCCTTGTGCGTCTCCTGCGCCCAATATAAAACGACACACCCTAAAAAAAAACAAAAAATAAGATAAAAAACACAAAAAAGGGACCTACTCCAGGCACGAAGTCCATCTGGAGGGTTTCCAGGATTTTGGGATCTTGAACTTGCCGCTGCAGGGAGTTCCAATCAACAGCGACTTCTTCGTGAAGCATTTGTTCTTCGTCTCGTTTCGAAGTTTGTTTTTTGTACTGTATACGAAATCTGAAAGCTTCGAGGACCGAAGCTACAACAATAGTAAGAACAACCATTGTAAATAAGTAAAATAACATGAAAAAAATCCGGGAATATGAGTGTGCGACATTGGCGTAAGCATCCATGACAATAAACCAGTTATTGACAACAGTTAATTCAAATAAAGTCACTCCCGAAATCAACAAATTCGAAAAATTGTTCAAATAGTAGTAACCAATGCCGCTACTACTGTTGGTACTGTATTTGTAGAAATCCTCAACGGTGGTACCACTGCAAACAAACATTTAACTATGATTGGTTGTGGCAGGTCACGTGTCGTGTTACTTGCAACAATTCCGCAAATCATATTGCGAGAATAATTCCATTCCAATGATTGCGAAAAAATAATACATGACCATCATGACAATTGCCGTTGACCACATTAATGGTGACAGGAGTACCAACGTACCGAAAATATCCCTATACCGTTTTTTCAATTTAAAAAGACGTAACAGTCTCAGTGGGCGTAGAATCACTACAGCTGTCAATTTCGGACGCACCAATAAGAGCAAAGAACCGATCAGGGCTACCAATGTTACAGTCAAGTCGAAAAAATTCCAACCCGACGATATGTATTCGCCCCATCCCAGGCCCACAATCCGCAAAAGGGCCTCAATTAAAAATACTAGAATTTTTTAATCACTAACAGAGACAAAAAACAACGTATCTTACATGAGAGAAAGAGATAAGTGTCCCACGAGGCACAAAAATTCTTCGCCCCTTCTTCCAAAGAGACTGATGATTCAAGAACTCGAATAAACATGGCGAGTCCATTCCCGATTATCAAAACATCTGTTAAATTAACAAATGAGTGTCAGAATTTTTTTCAATTGTTTTTATACGTACATACAATATGTTCAAAATACTCCCACGTGACAACTGTACGTGCAGCCCGACAAAAAATACGTAAAGGGGGCCAAGCGGCCGAAAACCAGGGATCAGGGGGGTCCTTCAAGCGCCATTTGAGACTCCCAGCGTCATAGATACCCAAAAACTCGTCTTCGCTCAATGCGCCGGTCCCAGAAGTGTTCAATTGGCGAAAAATTAAAATAATATCGCGTTGGGCTACAAAAAATTATTTTTCACCAACGCAGGAAACAAATTTTTCGGAGACAAATTACAAAAAATTTGGTTACGCAGTTTTGCACACTTCTAGCTCTTGAATAAAAAACATTTTGTCATACAATTTATTCAAAAGTATTAAATTAAATTTAATTATGTTTTTGACTGAATGATAATTTGTTTTTTAAGCCAATTGTGTAAACAAATACATCGGACTTGACATCTCAAAATTTGTTTACCCAGTTGGCCCAGAAAACTGAATTTTTGAAAATTTGGCTCCACAATTGGAACAAAAAAAACTTACAAGTTCTGGGTGAGTAATAGCGCATTAAACCATGAAACTGCTTAAATCTGACCATATTTGGGGCTTGTTTACTCACTAGGAGTCTAAACGCCAACTGACAAGCTTTTCTTTTGTGCAAAAGCAATTTCCGGAACTTGTCCTTTTCAATTCCTGTGAAAGTTTCATACACTACAGCCAACATCTAGAAAAATAAGTTACTAAAAATTCTCATAAATTTGAATTCCTTACGAGATTCATTAGCACATAAAGAACTATAGAAATGTACGAAATGAAAAAAACAGCATTCCATTTAGAGATTGCATAAGACGGCATCATAACATCCGGAAAACTAAAACAAATAAATTAATCAAACAAAACACAAAACTAGTCACGTGACTCACTTCGCCGTGGTCAGTAGTACAAACATGCTAACAAAACTGTCCCCTAGAGTGCGAAAATACAAGTTCGTTTGGTGGTTACTAAACAGAAAATACCCTAAAAGTGCATAACTGCACACGAAAAACATTAACAGCACCAACATGTCCAAAATGGGAGGCAACGATTGCAAAATCTGCCTAATAAACCTCCTCACAGCCCCACAAGCCCTCGTATCGACAAGAAAAATCGGCCTTAGAGCCCTAGTGACCCTAAAATGGGACTCTTGCCGCACTAAGACTATAATCGCTTCCAGCACCATAATAAACAGGGTGATTCCCTTAACCATTGTCCTTTTATGTTTCAGGATCATCGTCCAGCCAATCCAGCGCAATTTCAGAGCCAACTCCACCCCAATAACCCCCAGGGAGACAAGTTCAAGGGTGGTGTGCACCCCCACAGGCAACTGGAATTTGTCAACGGAGGGGTTCTCGGCGAGGGCTAGCAACAGGAGGACAATGGAGAAGGCCAAGTCGAGGCCGTAGTACCAGGAGTTGTGCACGAGGAGGTAGGCAGGAAGGGCGGAAGGGTGGCGGGGGTGCGAGTCAAACTTTTCATTATTTTCGCCCTCCTACAATTTTATTTTATTTTTTTTATTTCTGAAAATATATCATTTACCTCAAGGAAAATGGCGGCCTCGTGATAATTCATCTCCCAGTGGTCCACAGTCTCGGTGGTCTCCCTGCTGAGGCTCGAGCGGCTCCCCATTTCGTCAATGGGATCTACGAAATTAATCAATTATTACCACAATTAACCAATAAATACGCACATAGAAACATTATTTCACAGAGAAATTATTTAAAAAATACATTTTCGGACTTGGTTGTGTTATAAATTAAATAAATTCGGTGCACGCAAATTTCGGCCTTATGTACAGTAGGCATAAGGGTCACGTGTTATGAACGCAATTGTCTTTGCATTAAATGATAAGATAAGATTTTTGTGTACTCACTTGTACTGTTGGAGCCATAGGAGACATTGTGGCTGTCTTCGGTGAAGCGTTTGTAGCCGTCGTCATCTGGTGACTCTCTTGAGGCCGCCATTGGAAGACGAAACGAAGAACTGTCAAAATATCGCCCAAGATAGGCAACACAAAATACACCAAATGGTTTAATTATGTTAATTAAGAAATAATTGTCGGTAATTACGTAATTATGATAAAAAGAACCGCAAGCTATTGTTTGACTTTTAAAGTGGGACGAATGGAATGTTTCTATTGTGTGGGTTGGTTATGAATTTTTATGCGTATTTAAAATCAAACAAAATCACATAAAGCAACTACAATAATGACTTTTTATTTTATGTTAATTTATATTACAAGCAAAATGCAAAATTAATTCTTTGAGTCACTAGCAAATTGAATTGAACTGTCAGAATATCGCCCAAGATAGGCAACACAAAATACACCAGATGAGTCAATTAACTTAATTATGGGAAAAAATGAAATAATTATAGGTAATTAGAACTAATTACTGATAAAAAACGGCAAGCTATTGTTTGAATTTTAAACGGCGAGACAAATGGAATGTTTTTGTTGCGTGGGTTGGTATGAAATTTTTTTATGCGTATTAAAAATGAAACAATGAAAACACATAAAACAACCATAATATAATGTTAATGACTGTTTTTAGTACATTTTAACTTAAAATTAGGCACTTTCGTAAACAAATTAAGCAAAGTGTAAAAACTTATTTACACAGTTGCCTAAAAAATACTTTAAATAAATTCAATTTTTTTTAAACTTGTCAATGTCAAACATCCACAGTACCACCCTAAGACTTTTAAGAACACTAAAATTTCCTAGATCAGGTTTGAGGTATAGAAAAAAGGGTGTGCAAATTTTATTTCAAAAGACATGAAATAAAGTTGATGACACGGAAAAATGCAATATTTTCATTTTCAAAATGTACTCAATGAGCAGATTTAATTTTTTATTTTAAATTTAAAATTGCGGCTGACACACAATTGACATTCTACGTTACCAACCCAATAACACGAAATAACTAGTGGCTTATACCAACATGACAAGACTGATAACTGTGCGAGGACTTATTATTATACAGAGTAATTTTTTAAAAACAGCAAACGCCGTAGAATTTTTATTTATAAAATAAACTCGTCAAATTAAAAAAAAAAGTGAATTAAATGGCCACTATGGATTGACCGTGACTTTATATTAAAAGCCAATAAATTTATTTATTACAGCGTCAGTCGATTTTTTTTTAATATTGCAAAAACTTGCACGCAGATATTCTACGTAGAAAAATGACTAATTTGTCAAGTAAACGTCAAAAAATCACCTTGTATAATGGTTTTAAAAATAACTAATCGAATTAAATTTAAAGCTGACGCATCACTTTCCTTTAATTACCTTTTACTCGTTAATTACAACTAAAAAATAATATACTTAGAGATAAACCCGTTCAAGGATACCCAATTCACGAAATAATCTCCAAACAGTTTTATCAAAAAATGAGTCACTTGTGAAAATAACCGAGTGTTGGTGCTGTTCGTAGCGTAATTTCTCAGGTAATTACTTCACAGTAACCGACACAATCCTGATATCATCATAGGGCTTATCAGTTTTGGCGTTAGTTTTAACATTACTGATATTTTGTACCACTTCCATCCCCTTCACCACCCTCCCAAACACCGTATGTTTGTTATCAAGCCACGGCGTCGGCGTCAAAGTGATAAAAAACTGACTCCCATTGGTATTCGGCCCTGCGTTGGCCATCGACACTGTGTAAGGTCGATCATGCCTCAAATTCGGCCTAATCTCATCCTCGAACTCGCCCCCCCAGATACTCTCACCCCCGGTGCCGTTCCCCGTGGGGTCCCCCGTCTGTATCATAAACCCTTTGATCACCCTGTGGAAGATATGTCCGTTGAAATAGCCGTTTTTCGCATGAACGCAGAAATTCTCCACGGTTTTCGGCGTTTCTTTCATGAAGAGTTTCATGTGGATGTCGCCGAAGACGGTGTGGATGATGGCGTTCTCGTAGAGGCGCTGAACGGCGGGGTTGTCCGTCGCGGCGAAAGTGTCCTCTTTTGAGGGCTTTTCGTTGAAGACGTCGCGGTCTTGGTCACCTTGGAGTTCGTCCGGTTCGCGACGACTGAAGAGGTAAAAACGTGATTTTTTGTAAGCGGTGCAGATGAGGGTGGGGTCGGGTTGGATGGCGTCGAGGGTGGGGTTGTTTGAGGCTTCGATTTCGAAGGTTACTGCAGCTTTCGACTTCTTCGCCGAACCTGGAAACCGTGTTTTTTTTTAATTTTTTCTCGAGTATTATGTCAAAACGGCAGTTGGCTATGACTATGTTTGTATCTGTTTCAAAAACAAAGTTTGAAGGCAAACACACTGAATAGTATTTTTTTATTCATTTTAATTATTTGCTATCACTCTGTATACTACTACTACTACTCGCGGTATAGTTTTTCATAACCAACTTGAGATTTTTAAAAAACGTGAGATGGCTATGACTATTTTTATATTTATTTCAAAAACAACACCTGTATGGAATTTTAATTTTCTATCATTTTTGCCGCTCCATCCTGTATATCACTCCCCAGATTTTTTTTCAAAGACAACTTGGATTTTTATCGAACATTATTTAAAAACAGGAGTTGGCTATGACTACATGTTTGTATTTGTTTCAAAAACAAAATTCAAGAGCGAAGAAATACCCTGTATTATTTTTATTCTTCTTTATTTTTATATATTTAAATTTTTTCTTTTTGTGTTTCATTTCCTACCAATTTTACCACTCCACCCTGTATACAACTACTCTAAGTATCTTTTTTTTAAAGCCGATTTGGATGTCTCTTCGAATATTACTTTTTAAAAATGACTATATTTGTATTTGTTTCAAAAACAAAGTTTGAGAACGAACAAATTTTTTTTACTAAAAGCGTTTTTTTTTTCAAAGCCAACTTGCATTTTCGTCGAATATTATTTAAAAACGGCAGTTGGCTATGACTATGTTTGTATTTGTTTCAAAAAAAAATTAAGAGCGAAGAAATATTCTGTATAGTATTTTTATTTTCCTTTATTTTTATATATTTAAATTTTTTATTTTTGTATTTCATTTCCTACCAATTTTACCACTCCACCCTGTATACAACTACTCTAAGTATCTTTTTTTTTAAAGTCGATTTGGATGTCTCTTCGAATATTACTTTTTAAAAATGACTATGTTTGTATTTGTTTCAAAAACAAAGTTTGAGAACGAACAAATTTTTTTTACTAAAAGCGTTTTTTTTTTTTCAAAGCCAACTTGCATTTTCGTCGAATATTATTTAAAAACGGCAGTTGGCTATGACTATGTTTGTATTTGTTTCAAAAACAAAGTTTAAAAGCGAACAAACACTCTGTATAGTTTTTTTTCTATTATTTTTCCGCTCCATCCTATATATTACTACCCCAGATTTTTTTTCAGACAACTTGGATTTTTTATCGAACATTATTTAAAAACACGAATTGGCTATGACTGCATGTATGTATTTGTTTCAAAAACAAAATTTAAGAGCGAAGAAATACCCAGTATAGTATTTTTATTCTTCTTTATTTTTATATATTTACATTTTTTATTTTTGTGTTTAATTTCCTATCAATTTTACCACTCGACCCTGTATACAAGTATCTTTTTTTTAAGCCAATTTGCATGTCTCTTCGAATATTACTTTTTAAAAATGGTTGGCTATGACTATGTTTGTACTTGTTTCAAAAACAAAGTTTGAGAACGAACAAATTTTATTACTAAAAGCGTTTTTTTTTCAAAGCCAACTTGTATTTTCGACAAATATTATTTAAAAACGGCAGTTAGCTATGACTATGTTTGTATTTGTTTCAAAAACAAAGTTTGAAACCGAACAAACACTCCGTATAGTATTTTTTTATTTAAATTTTTATATTTCAATTTTACCGCTCCACCCTGTATACTATTACTCTAGGTGTTTTTTTTTTAGACGGGTATTAGTATTTGTTTCAAAAACAAAGTTTAAAAAGAACAAACATCCTTTATGTTAAAAAAAATAAATTCTATGTTGAAATAGTAGATTACGTGCGGGCTTAGAACCTAAAGAGTAATGACAGTATACTATTTTATTCACAATCGCATTTCTTTATTATTATTTCCCAACCATGGGATGTAATGGCAAATTTCCCGACCTCTAAAACGTATTATTTGATTTTTTTTCTTGCAGAAATGATGGACGAAAGTGTCATTTTCGAGATCCAAGTCGAGAAAAAAGTCCTCGAACAAGTTTTCCACGAAAACAAACATTTGAAAGACAGTTACGACAAACTGATAAAAAATGAAGACAACATAAAACCACTAAAAGACGAAATAAAAAATTTAAACAACAAAACCAAAACCTTGCAAGAAGCTAACCAAGCCTTGAGTGAAGAAAATGCCAAAATGAAAAAACAGTTTGAAGAATTCGAACAAACAAAAAACGAAGAAATAAAACAATTGAAAGAGCGTCTCAGGAAAAGAGAAGAAGAAAATAGAAATCTAGATCAGGACAAACTAGATCTAGAATTACAAGTGAAAAACTTGACGAGAAAAGTGCGTTTAGAAGAAGAGAAGGAAAAATCAAACGATTTGGCCCAAGTTGAGTGTAAACTCCTCAAATTGAAATTACATGCGATCGAAAACGAGAAAAATTACCTCATTTCTGACTTTGAACGCGAACGTAAAATCATAACGAAACAGAACAAACCACGGGTACAAAAATTGGAGGAAAATTTACGACATTTACGAAAATGGATTGAGAAAGAGTCACGTGAGCGACGCCCCAGAGACACCGACCAGGTTAAGGCCCTTAAAGCACAAATTGCCACTTTGGAAAACGATAAAGTCGACTTGATTGAAGGTTTCGAGCTTGAACGGAAAGTCTTCAGGAAAATTCTCAAGGAGAACGGACATTCTAACAGCGAATTGTCGTAATTTTTTAACAATTATTTTACAATAAAAACAATTAAAATTTGCGATGTTTTTTATTATTATTTTCCGTTCTGAGTACCATTAAAAACAAAGACTATTTTTTAAAATAAACATGAAAATGCACAAGTGTCGTATTGCCAGCCTAAAAAAATAGTTAACGTTTTTTACATAAAATAATATAATAGCGATTTTTTTTGACTCGGTATGGCAAAATCCAGCTTAAAAATCTGCCTAAACTCTGAAAAAAGGCAAAAACTAAATCATTTTCGGCCTAAGTTTGTAATTTTTCGACTTGTTTTTAACAAAATCCTGCGAAAAAATGGCTGAAATTAGCTCAAAAACGCTCGAAAAATACAAAAATAATATAATTTCCGACTAAATTCAACGGCTTTTTGGTTTGTTTTAGCGAAATCTCGTGAAAAACCTCAGATTTTAGTACCAAAAGTTACACCATTTTTGACGTAATTTGTGGTATTTTTGGCTTGTTTTTAACGAAATTTTGCAAAATAATTGCGTTTCGAAAAACGTGCTGAGATGCTCGAAAAACGTAATTTTTGACTTAATTTTTTTTTGTTACAACAAAATCTTGTAAACAAACTGAGTTTTTGTATAAAAACGTGGGCATTTTCGACCTAATTTTGTGGTTTCTCGGCTTATTTTTGTCTTAATTTTGCTCAAAAACCAATGAGATCAAGTGAAAAAAAAAAATACATCAAAATTAATTCGTTTAGTGATTTTCAAGCGTGTTTGGACAAAATTTTGCAAGTCTTCGGTCTAAAAACGAATTAAATCGAGCTAAAAGCTAAAAAATAATATAAATTTCGATTTACTTTTGTATTTTTTTAACTTGTCTTAATTTTTTTTGTCTTTTACCTCAAAAAATCACTTAAACAAATGAGAAAAGCAAAAAACAATATTTTTTTAAATTATTTTATTGAATATTTTTTTGTTTTAAACGAAATTTTATAAAATAAATGTGTTCCTAGCTGAAAAATGTGCTAAAACACTCAACAAATGTAGAAATTAATAAATTATATAATTTTCGACTTAATTTGTGGATTTTTTGGTTTGTTATAGCGAAATCTCACAAAAAAAACTTGATTTTAGTTATAAAAACTGGTTTAGAAACATTCTCGGCAAAATTTTGTGTTTTTTCGACTAATTTTGCTCAAAAACCAGTTAAAACAAATGAAACAAACAAAATAACAAGAATGTCAATTCTTTTTGTGATTTTTAAGCGTGTTTGGACAATATTTTGCAAAATAAATGAGTCTACGGTTCAAAAACGAACTAAATCGAGCTAAAAAATAATGTAAATTTTGATTTAATTTTGTGATTTTTTAAAATGCTTCAATAAAATTTTTATTTTTTGTTTTGTTTTTGTTCTAAAAATGTGCATAAACACTTGAAAAAGACAAAATTAAGATTGTTTTTCACTTATTTTTTTAGAATTTTGACTTCTTATTTTTAACAAAATTTTCCAAAATAATAGTTTCTAGATGAAAAAAAAGTAAAGTAAAATCTGATAAAAAAAAACAAATAGCACTATTTTTAACCAATTTGGTGGTTTTTCGATTTTTTTTAATTTAGCAAAATATTCATCTTTCTAACATAAAAACGTGCAAAATGCTCAAGAAAGATGCAAAAATTATCAATTATTTTTGACCAAATTTCTTGTTGTTTTCTTTTCTAAATTACCAGATTAGCATGAAAATCACTAAATCTGGTGAAATTTCAAATGTCAAAATTAAAAGTTGGTCAAGAGTGATCTGAAAATTTTATGAACATATGTCTTTAATAATAACGTCAATATCTGTCAAATTTAACGATTTTTGCGTTAAGCTTTGATTAAAACATTTTTTTTTATACAAACTAAAATTCAACATTTTTAAAATCGATCATCTTAAATAATTTGACAGTTTATTAAATATAACAATTTAGGCAAGAAATACGTCCATGAAATTTTCACAACTCAGTTGATATTTATTTCCATTGTTTTATGACACGGCCAACTGTCATTTTATTTATAAATTCACTGATTTTGCCTTTTAATTTAAATTTGTTCTCTTATAAACCAATTTGAATATTATGATTGTGAAATGGTGGCAACACTGAAACACGACAAGTGTTGCCAACATAATTTCAGTCATAGCCCACATTGATTAATTAGAAAAAAGTGCTCTACATACCTTGATACAGGGCGATGTTCAACAACCTCAAATTTTCGTTTTTCCCAATAATCCTCACACACTTATTGGTATACAAGTTTACCAACTTAATCCCTAGAAGTGTAGCATACATTATAAAATGTCCACTGTAATCAAACACAATATTCGCTAAAACCACCGCTTCTGACTTTTCCAAATCGCGTTCAACGGCCATTCTACGCCCAAATTCCATATTAGGTAACTGTTGCGTCGCTTGTTGCAATTCGGTAAAACGTGGCAAAGTCTCATCCAAAACTCGGACAAGTTTTCCTGAGACAAAATTAAAAACACGCACTTTCCGATCAGTACTCAAAGTTGCAAATCTTGAACCATCGGGAGAAAATGCAATACCTGTCACAGTTGTCTTATTTTTCGCAAATTCGAATAAATCCGTGTCGAGTTTCGAGTCGAATTTCACGTTTTTGGGGAAAATACAGTCCTGTTTCAGTCCGGTCCAATACTCCAAAATCCCTGTTTTATCGACCGAGACCGCAACATCGTATTTGGGGTTATATTTGATTAAAACCACGGCTTGTGTGTGCATTTTCTCGAGGACTTTCAACGGTTTATTGTCAGACCTCCCGTCATAAATGTAGATTTTCGGGGACTCGCTATCAGTGACTGCGAGACTGTGTACGGGGTCACCCGGCCCGTGCACCCACTCGACTTGATTCGGCCCATAATCGAGCTTCATCATGTTTATCATATCGAAATTGACCACATCGAAAATTTTCAAAGATTTATCAGTCGAGGCTGAGCAAAATAACGTCCCTTCCACGTTGCAAGCGATGCTTGTAATGGGGCCCAAATGGCTCCGGAAGTGTTTCACAAACTCGATCCCAGTCTCGACTTTCTTCCAGAATTTTATGTGGCCGTCACAACTCGCTGTTATTATGAAATCGGTGGCTGAGACAACAACGTGGGTTATTACGTCTCGGTGCATGTAGCTTTTTTCATAAGACTCGGCACTTGGCAGGTTGTCTAAATACAGGTTTTCGTGGGATAAGCGACGGCGTTTCTTGGGTTGGGGCAAAGGCCCCACAAACTCGGTGTCCGACATAACCTCAAATTTGAAATTTTGGGGTTTTGGCGAAATTAGCGCTACCCCAGGGCAGACGTGGCCCGAAATAGCTTCCAAACACTATTTTCTGTAATACTTCCACTAGTTTTAACGCAAATTAGTGTTAATTTGAGGGTTTTCAACGGCTTTCTTGGAGTGACATAACCACAAAAATCACAAGAGTAGGCTAAATACTACGCAGGCTACACAACAGTCGGTTAAAAGACCCAAACAATTAATTACAAAAAAAGAAATTTGTATTTGATTAATGACCCAAAGGAGCTTCCGCAAAACGTTTTTTATCATTTTCCGGCAAGTTTTTAAGAAAATAAGTGTTATTTGAAGTATTTCCAACGGTTGTTTAGATTTAGATAAACAAAAAAACTACCACTGTAGACTAAATACATCTGTAGATTAAATTACCCAATCAATAAATTTTTAAATATGTATAAAATTTTTGTTTAATGTAATTAATGCGGCATTAATACTCGTAATCGCAGTGAGTTTTTTCTTTTTTTTTCAAGTTTTATAGCAAATACTTTTTTTTAACAATAATTGTACATTCAAAACTCAAACCATTCACTTATTAAATACAATATACAATTATGTAACTTAACAAACTGTGGCATTATTATATAATAATGAAATTACAAAAAACTCATATTTTTTCAATAAATACCTTCTTCGTAATTTAGTTACTCAAAGTAGGTAAATAATCCTGGAGTAGATTAAATGGTTCACGTGATAAGATCAACCTAATAACTCAAAAAGCGTTTTTTTTACCGTTTAATTGAAACATTGGTATTCAAGCCCCGTAAGTGTTTTTTATTTCTGAACTCGGAGACATAAACAACTTTTATTTAATAATTGCGCAAAGCAAATAAATGTCATAATCCAAGGCTCCAAGGATAAAAGAATCTTGGCCCCACACGATGATTGTAAAAATGCTAGTTTTACAAAAAATCGCATATTAAATACCACTTTCGTGGCATTTGAACACAAAACGTGGAATTTTGCCCCTGAAAATCATAATTTTGCGTTCATTAATAAAAAAATTAAAGTAGGTCCGTTCAATGAGTTTGATTTACCTACTGTCATAAGTTTGACACGTCATTGTGAGGTTATAGGAGTGTTTGTTTATTTTGTTAAAATTCTCTTTGATAATGTTCAAAAAGCTCAAGGAGAAGATAACTGAAGAGGTGAAAAGTTCCCCTCAAAGGTTCCAGCAGTTGACACAGTCTGTGAGCGACAGGTTGCAAAATTCGTCAACTTCCGATGAAAATTTCTTCTCGATAGGAGACGACGGTATGAAATCGTCCCTTGTTGTTGACTCTCCCCTCAAAATAGCGTTTTAGATGCCACACCGTCAAATTCAAGTTTTGAATCAGGTTTTACCAATGTGTCTTTAGTGTCACCTCAGGAAAATAAAATGCGACGTAACTCGAACTCTTCAATCGCTAGCGACGTGTCTTTTTTACCTCGTTACGAGTCCGTGGCCAATATGTATCATTTACAGTCCGATTTGGACATTTCGGCTAGTGAAATTGAAGATAATGCTTCGAATTCCTCCCAATTGGGGCATTTGAGTAAAGAGCAAATTTATTCAGCGTTTCAGAAGGCCCAAATGCGGTACCACAAATACAGGGGGCGCTACACCGACCTAGCCAAACACTATAAAGACCTAGAGCGGGAAAATTCAAAAATGAAGTCAGTATTAGTCGAGACTCAGGACAAGGCAATAAGGCGAGTAACTGAACTGAAAGAGCAATGTGCTCTAGAACAGAAAGCCAAAGCACACTTAGAAAGTGCGTTGAGGGACGAAATCGATGAAAAACAACTCAAAATTGAGTCATTACAAACCAAAATCGAACTCCTCCAAAATGGCCCAAATCACGCCCCAGAAACGGAAAATTCACTCGAAATTGAGAATTTGAACCAACGAATTCAAGAAATGAAAGCCAATTCGATTATTTTCCAAACCAAGGAGCAGGAATACAAGACGAAAATCGCAAATTTAGAAAAAGAAATCGCCCTTTTTGCTGAGCGCGAAAAGGAGAATAATTTGAGTCTAGCTCAGAATAAAATGGAATTGCATAATGAATTGCTAAGTAAAGACGCAGAAATCAGCAATTTGAAGAAAACTCTAGAAACCCTCACAGGCGGAAATGGAAAATTCGACAATCTTCAAACCCAAAATACGAAATTAATTGAAAAAGTTGAAGCCCTAACTCAAAAATGTAACAACTACGAGACTGAATTATTGAAAATGGAACAGCTCAGACTTGAAAATCAGGAAAACACAAAACTGAAGAAAGAATTAGAAGAAACTCGGGAGAAATTGGAGGGGGTGAGAGAAGACGCCAAGAGGAGTCTTTTGAGTCTCGAGACGAAAATCCATCAAAAGCTTGTTAAAGAATTTGAGGAAAAGGAAGAAATGTTGAGGAGTGAATTTAAAAAGAAATTTGAGGAGGTTTCTTCTAGTTCAAGCACTTTAAATCAACTTCAGTTGAATCTTCTTGAAAAAGAGGAAGAAATTAGAAAGTTGAGACAAGTCAATGATGGTATTTTAGAACAATTGACATCAAAAACATCGAAATATGACGATTTGGAGCGAAATCATCTTGAATTGATTGAAGAAAGTGCCACTTTGAGGAGTCAAATAGGAAATTTGGAGAAGGAGTTGGCAACCCTGCAAAATACAAATCAAGCAACAAATTTAAAAATGGGTCATTTGGAGTCAAATGCGAGAGCTTTGGAAGCGGAAAGGGATGATTTGTTACAAGAAAAGAAAAATTTCATGGGGAATTTGGAGGAAGAAAGGAGGATTAATGAAAGGCTAAATTTGGAGGTGGAGCAATTGAGGAGTGATTTGGACGAAGAAAAGAGAAGCAACGGAGAGAAAAACGCAGAAATAACAAGGAAATTCAAAGAAGAAAAGAGAAAAAATGAAGAATTGGAGAAAAAGAAGAATGAATTTGAAAAGAATTTGGAGGAAGAAAGGAAGATTAATGAAAGACTAAATTTGGAGGTGGAGCAATTGAGGAGTGATCTTGCGGAAGAAACGAAAAGCAAAGAAGAGAAGAAGGTTTCAGACAACGATATAGCGAAGAAATTGAAAGAAGAAAAGACTAGAAATGAAGAAACGGCGAAGAAAGTGCAAACGTTACTCAAGTCTTTGGAAGAAGAGAGAAATAAGATTCTAGAATTGGAGGAAAAGAAGAATTATCTAGAACGGAATTTAGAGGAAGAAAGGAGAAGCAAGAAAGGGAAGGAAGAAGAACTGGAAGAGAAAAAGGTTTTCGACGAAGAAATGGCGAAAAAATTGAAAGAAGAAGAGACGAGGAATGAAGAAATGGCAAAGAAAGTACAAACGTTGCTCGAGTCTTTGGAAGAAGAGAAAAGGAAAAATCTGGATTTGGAGGAAAAGAAGAATGATCTAGAACGGAATTTAGAGGAAGAAAGGAGAAGCAAGAAAGGGAAGGAAGAAGAACTGAACGAGAAAAAGATTTTCGACGAAGAAATGGCGAAAAAATTGAAAGAAGAAGAGACGAGAAATGAAGAAACGGCAAAGAAAGTACAAACGTTGCTCGAGTCTTTGGAAGAAGAGAAAAGGAAGAATCTGGATTTGGAGGGAAAGAAGAATGATCTGGAACAGAATTTGGAGGAAGAAAGAAGAAGTACCCAGAGATTAAATTCGGACTTAGAGAACTTGAAACGTCACATTGAAGAAAAGAAGAAAGATTTAGAATCGACTTTAGATGAAGAAAAAGCAAAGTTGCTCCAAAAACTTGAAGAAAGTTCGCGAACTATGAAGCATTTGGAAGAAACCGGTTTGGCTCTTACTGAAGAGCTCAACGAATTGAAGACGAAAAATGAAGAACTTGCAAATGTGACCGAAGAAAGAAATACTTTGTGGAAGAAACTTAGCGATAGTGAAGAAACTAATTCGTTACAAACGTTAAAAATTCAGAATTTGGAGGAAGAATTGAGGAATTTGTTTGCGAATTTAGAAGACGAGCGAAAGAAGAGTATTAGATCGGGTGAAGAACGCGAATCCGTCCTGAGGCAGCAACTGGAGGAAAAAGAAGAAAGTTTGCTGAAGCTCAAGGTGCTTCTTGAAGATAAGGAAAATGATTACATTAGACAATTAGAAAAAAAACAGTCGCAGCTAAAGAAAATTGAAGATCAAACTAATACACAATTAAGTGAAGAAAGGACGAAAGTGGAGGAAGAAAGAGCTCATTTGTTGGAGGAGGTTTCACTATTGAAGAAACTTCTCGAAGAAGCGAATAATAACTTGACGATAAAGGAAGACGAATTGAAGAGAGTTGAAGAAAGTTCGAGTGAAAAAATCGACAAAATGGCGAAAGAAATCGCGAATTATGTTAAAGTCGAAAAAGAATTGTTGTCAAAAATAGAGATTTACGAAAACGATTTGAAGATTAAAAACGAACAAGTTGAAACACTATCAAAGAAAATTGAGGAATATAACGACCTAATTGAAGAACGGAATGAAGATATCTTCAAAATTTTGACCAACTTTTCCGAGCCTTTTAATAATATTCGGCATAACAAAGACAATAAACACTTCAATAATTTAGAACAAAAATTGCAAAATTTTGAAAAAACATTTTCCCTTGAGAGAGAAAATCTCGCGAAAATATTGATTTATTTGAAGCAATTTGAAGAGAAGCATTCCACGATTTCCGGCGAGAAAATGGCTTTAGAGGAAGAAAAGGAAGAATTGTTGAGGCAAATAAACGAATTGAGGAGGCAAATCGTTGAAGTAAACTCCGCCCAAAGTTGTGTGAAGCAATTTGAGGAAGAAATTCTTCGATTGAGGGAAGAAAATGTCCGATTGATGGAAGAACAGGAGAAACTTAAACAAAACGTAATCGAACTCGAGTCAAGAAACAGTCAAGTGGTCTCTGATAGTAATTTTCTGTCGGAAGAAAATCAAGGCTTGCTTTCTGAAATCGAAGAATTGAAATTGAAGAATGAAGAATACGAAACAAAGTACAAAAATTTAGAATTAAAAATTCTGAAACTCGAAAACGAGTTGGCTGAGAGTAATCACAGTCAGTTGGCAGAACTGGAAAGACATTTGAACGAGTTACAACACGAAAAACAATTGCTATTGGAGGAAATTGAGGAATTGAAAACGACGCCCATTAACCTGAATAACAAATCAGATAAAGAGGAAGATTACCTCAAAGAAATTGAAAATTTGAGGACGAAAATCGTTCAATACAAATCAGTAGATTTAACAAATCGAAGCTCGATTGAGTTTTACGAGAATGAATTACAAAAATTAAAAAATCAAAACGAAAAATTAAACCGGAAATTAGACGAGACTCTAGTCACTTTAAATCATTGTTCGGAACTGTCGAATTCGACCGAAATCGAGTATTTGAAAAACGTTTTGTATAATTATATGTTGGGCAAAGAAAGTATGGTCTTGGCGAGGGTTATAGCAGCCGTTTGTAAGTTCGATCCGCAACAAACCGAATTAATTCTTGCAAAGGAACAACAAAAACAAACTTTGGTAAGTTGAGGAATTTGGGGATTTTTCGTTTGTAATGTTGGTGTTTCAGTTGGGCCAGCTGGGGATTCTCTAACAGTAGGGCAACGTTTTTAACTTAGGTGCATTCCGTTTACTCATTACGTACGAACTATTCAGTGATTTTGTCAGTACTAACGCACTTTTTATCGGTTGTGTAAATATTTCGTTGTATCTTATAATATTTATGTAAATTGTTAAATAAACTAAACTTTCGTAATAAAATTTTGATAACCGGTTCTTCTTTTTCCTCCCGATTTCGGGGCTCTTTTTGTTGACAAGTGAGGTAGTGGTGCCAACTAAAACTGATACATAAAAGTTTACTACTTGAAGGTAGGAAATTAGCAAAGAAGTGATTAAAATCAAACTCACTTCTCTAAAAACGCTTTATTGTCAATGTTTTGCTAGTCGTGAATGACGAAATTTTGAAGAGTCGTTTAAGTTTGGTGTTTTTCATATTTGAGATTGGTAATGGTAAAAACCTCGGACAAGTGTTTCAAAAACATTTTTTTAAACTAGTGAAACAGCAAGAAAAGTAATTAAGATCAAACTTATTGCTCTACAAAACGTGTTGGGTAATAATTATTTTACTACGAGTCGTATTAAGGTCGGTGTTTTTTTGTGTTTGAAGTTGGTAGTGGTGGTTGTGACAGAAAGAAAAAAGCTTGCTTGCGTTTTTAAATTAATGAATCGGTGAGAAAAGTAATTAAAATCAAACTTATTTCTATAAAAAACGTTTTAAACGTGTTTTATAATTGTTTAGCTTGCTATGAGTAAGGAGATTTTTACGAGTCGAATGAAATTTGGTGTTTTTTTGTGTTTGAAGTTGGTAGTGGTGCTTGATGGAAAAGCTGGGGTAAGTGTTTGAAAAACGTTTTTTCTTAATAAAATGATCGACTTTATTGGCGAAACAATATAATAAGTAAAAATAGAATTCGTATTTGAAATTAGGAATAAATAAATCTTCCTGTTGGATAAATCTAGAACTTATGTACACTTGGGCGCCTTTTCCCCCCTCAAAACCTTTTCAAAAACTCCTCTGAAACAATTCGAGCCCTCGCATTGACCGCCAACTTCATTTCCGACACCTCCTTATCAATTTCCTCCATGAAATGAATCACAAAATCGACGAGTTTGTGTTTGTACATCTGTTCCGTGTGGAAATTCGTTATGAGGAAACTAATGTCGTATCCCTCGATGGGTTTTCTTCGCAAAACAACGAAATTCTCCGCCCGCATCATCATGAAACGCATAAACTTCTTGCAGAGGATTTTCTCGATTTCGTCCGCTTGTTTCACGGCTATACTGATTCGGACCGAATTCACTGAAGTCTCTATGAACACTTTTTCCTTCTCATTTCGCGAAATCACGACGGGGGTCAACAACAGCTCTTTACTGGACCTAACCTCAACTTCCGGCTTGTTGTGTCTTTCCACCACCTGCGACGAGAAGTTCTCCAAACACATGGCGGCGGTTAAGGTGTGCCGCACCGCCGCCAAATAGGGCCGTAGAGTCGCCGACATCGCCCCGCTTATCACTTATTTGAGCAAAATTACGACTGATAACACCACACCTCTCTGACATACGAGGGGAGGTGCGCAATTGCCGCCAACCGCGAAAACACAAAACAAACGTCAACACAATTCAAGTTTATTCACAAAAAAAAACAATTTCTTATTACCACCAATCAAATTTGATGCCCTAAAGTCGATCAGTACGTAACTAGTTTGCGTTTTTTGATGAATTTTTTTTCAAATATTTAAATTCATTATTTTTCTTTTTTTTGTCCGCTAGAGGGCGGCGTGACATTTGACATTGACGTAAGGTGCGTAATGTCAAAAAAATTACTTTAATTACAAAAAAACGATTAAAATCATGTCTGGTGCCCTTAAATTGTACAGTTTGAGTCGATCAGGTACGTAATTAGTACTTGTGTGTGTTTTTTAATGATTTTTTTGTTGAAATAATTAGAGTCAATTGACATAACCTCAATTTTGTTTCATAACAGTCTCTGGTCGCCCCTCAATTTTTCTACGAGCATGTGGACAAAATCGCTTGAAAAGTACCTCAAAAGGTGACTACATTAACGTAAATCCGGGTGAACCTGGGATGAGTTTGAATGAAGTTTCAGGTGAGTGAAAAATTCGCTAAAAAACAATTACTTTTGATAGTATTTGAGTTTAAGCATATTGTTTACAAATCAGATTAAAGTTTGATTGTAATATAGCACAATTTGCGTATTTAAAAGTTTTTAATTTGAGTTGGTTGTATTATGGGTTGCATACCCACAAGGCGTTTCAATTATTTTTTTTTAGACCGAGCTGCTCAGAAAGTATTTTTCACCGAATTGGTTCGCGGTTTTGGGGTAACACTAGCCCACATTTTTAAGGAACCGGCCACGATTAATTACCCGTTTGAGAAGGGCCCCCTGAGCCCCCGTTTTCGAGGGGAGCATGCCTTAAGACGGTATCCTTCAGGTGAAGAGAGATGTATCGCTTGTAAATTATGTGAGGCGATTTGTCCGGCACAGGTAACACATTTGGTATTTTTTCTACTACTAAAAAATGACATTTAAGGCTATCACTATTGAAGCCGAAGAACGTGCCGATGGTTCGCGGAGAACAACTCGTTATGATATTGATATGACAAAATGTATTTATTGTGGATTTTGCCAAGAAGCGTGTCCTGTGGATGCTATTGTCGAAGGCCCCAATTTTGAGTTCTCGACTGAGACGCATGAGGAGTTGTTGTATAATAAAGAGAAATTGTTGAATAATGGGGATAAGTGGGAGTCGGAAATCGCGGCGAATATCCACGCCGATCATTTGTATCGTTGAGATTGTAAAATAGTACAAGAATTAGTTGGAATAAATTAGTTTAATCGGAAAAAATCTTTGTTTTCTTAAAAGTCTAGTTTATGGTTGCTATGAGTTGGTAAAGGGAATCCCCGAAAACGCCATTTATATTAAAATAATTTTATTTACCATGTTGGTTATAAATATCTAACCTAAATAAGTATTACACTCCTAATTAAATAAAAAATCAAATAATTACAATTAGAATTATATTACACGGTCCAATATGGCAGTTTTTCGATTTTCGATGCTTAACCCTCGTAACTTGATTTCCTCCCTGATTATTAACCTTGTCTTAATCTCACTAATTTTCGAGTTTTTTGAGCTCTGTGATTGGCTTAGCTAGCGTCGATTTGATCCAATCAACGTCGGGGGCTACATAGCCGCCAATCTGGCCTTCTTGTTTACACCCCGTGTCCCACGAGTAGATCCCCGAGAGGGTATACCGACCATCGGTGTTACAAGCCAATGCACTACCATAGTCCACCTAAAAGTAAAAGTTGGCAACAGTGATCACCACGCAGTTGTACCAACCTTGCACTGGTCGATATTCGAGTAGCCACACAGCGTGTTCGGACTGTGATTTCCCACCGCGTGTTGGAATTTGCTCTTTAGAGTCTCTTGACATTGCTGATTATCCATAACATTGACGTTTATCGAATGCATAATCGCACCTTTGGCGTGAACTGAAATTTGATCAAGTCGTCTCAGTCCAGTCACGTGACGTGGTGGGTATACTCACGTTGGAGAATTCTTTTACCCCAACCGGTGGCTATGCAATTTTCGGTTGGGATTTGGTTAGGGGGAGGGAGACACAAAGTCCCGATATTTTTCGATGGCCGGAATTTCTCCTCCAAGACCAGGAGGGCCAAATCGTTGAGGAAGGAACCAGGTTGGTACTGCGGGTGCTGCACCACTACTGCCACCTTTATAATCTGGAAAGGTAGAGGTTCCTCGTCGATGCCCAGCTTCCATTCGCCCCCTTTCACCAAAATGTCACTAGTTTCAAGCCTGGAACAAAATTTTGGTTTTACAAGGTTGGTACTAAATGACAGGACGAAATTAATTTGTGTTGTTTTTTGATCAAAAACGCCTCACCTAACGTAAAAAAATACAAATTTTTTAATTTGGTTTTATTTAATTGTCGTAAAATGGTGTAAAGTGTTTTTTTCAATCCCGAAACAATATTTGAATTTTTGTGTTACAAAGTTGGTAGTAGTGGTTAAAATGACGGGACGAATTCGTTTGTGTTGTGTTATTTTGTTGCTAAAAATGTCTCACCGGAAGTGCAGGTAAGTCAAAAAACACAAAATTTAATTTTTCTATTTAACCTTACTTACCCTTCGACGCAGTGGGCGGCGGTAATGACCGCATTCCGCCTGATTATAGCCCCCCCGCACAAAAGACTGCGATTCGAATCCCTTAAAACCATGGCCTGCCATGGGATTTCGGCGAAATTGACATCAAGGGGCCCCGGGCCTTTCGGGTTGGTGTTTTGGTGTCTTTCCCCACACGTTGGTTGGGGTTGTTGTACGTTTACGTTGATGTTTGAGGCGTCTTGTCGAGGGCCCCCTTTTTCTGATCTGACATTTCTTTGCAAATCTGGTGAATATTGACCGATACTGTCGTCCTCTTTATATTGCCCATCGTCTACCCCATTTACGAGATTCGCAGATGGCCATGGATCTTTATAGTTGGGGTCGCGACAACACTTTCCGATGATACCCGATTCGGTATCTTGACAAACAGTCGTCGGTACTCGGCTCAATTCTTGTTCTTTTGTTAGTACGACTGGTACTGGAGAAATGACCCCTTCTGCGGTACAGTAGATTTCTTGTACGCATTTAAGAGCAGCGGCACATCCCGGTGGAGGGGCTGTGTTGAGTTCACCTTGAAATTGGGTTCGGGGGGTCGTCGGTCGTAAAATAGTACCGTCAAGGTTGGCAGCATCGGAATTCTGGTCACCCTCAGTGGGTTTCTTAGGAGGGGGTACATATTGGTTATCGACATTACTGCTAGAACCACCGGGCCTAGGTGTGGGATAACCGAAAGTTGGGGTCGGTTTGGGGTACTCATAACCGCCAGTTGGTCGTTGAGGTTGAGGTGGCGCTGGAGTGTATTGAGGAATCGAAGGTGACGGGAATTGAGGTATGGATGGAGTTGGTCGGAATGGAGGAGAAGTAGGACGATAAGGAGGTTGCGTGGGACGTGGTTGGGGACTTGGAGTGGGGTATTGGTAACCAGGAGTCGGACTTGGTTGTGGTTGGAATGGAGGAGAAGTGGGGCGTGGTTGAGGAATTGACGGACTTGGTCTAAATGGTGGTGGGGTCGGACGTGGTGGTTGAGGACTAGGACTGGGGTATTGATATCCAGGAGTGGAGCTTGGTTGGGGACTAGGTCTATATGGAGGAGGCGTTGGACGCGGTTGGGGTTGATATGTTGGTCTAGGGGTAGTTTGTTGGGGTATGAACGGACTTGGAGGTCTTGGAGAAGACGGCTGTGGGGGTAAATACTCCCGACTTGTGGTTGGTCTAGAAGTTGAAGGTTGATACGAAGGTTGATAAGGCCTTGGTGTTGTTTGCGGAGGTTGATATGGACGTAATGACGTTTGTGGAGGTTGATAAGGCGGTTGATACGGTTTTGGTGTAGACTGAGGAGGTTGATATGGGGGTTGATACGGTTTTGGTGTTGTTTGAGGAGGTTGATAAGGCGGTTGATACGGTTTTGGTGTAGTCTGAGGAGGTTGATATGGGGGTTGATACGGTTTTGGTGTTGTTTGAGGTGGTTGATAAGGCGGTTGATACGGTTTTGGTGTTGTTTGAGGTGGTTGATACGGTCTTGGTGTTGTTTGAGGAGGTTGATATGGTGGTTGATACGGTCTTGGTGTTGTCTGGGGAGGTTGATATGGTGGTTGATACGGTTTTGGTGTTGTTTGAGGGGGTTGATACGGTCTTGGTGTAGTCTGAGGAGGTTGATATGGCCTTGATGTTGTTTGAGGTGGTTGATATGAGGGTTGATACTGGGTGCTTGGTCTTGAAGTGGGCGAAACTGGGGGCAAATATTCTCTACTTGTAGATGGGGCAGGTCTGTAGGTCGGAGATGGGGTCGGCCTGTATGTTGGAGATGGTGCCGGCGCATACGTTGGAGACGGTGCAGGTCTATACGAGGGAGATGGGGCAGGTCTATAGGTTGGAGATGGGGCAGGCCTATATGTTGGAGATGGGGTAGGCCTATATGTTGGAGATGGGGTCGGGATCGTCGGACTCGGGGGTACGTATTTAGGCGGGGTGGGTCGTGTGACATATTGGTTGTCGATGCTCGATTGTTCGAAGGGTTTTAGTTTAGAAGGGGTAGTTGGGGCGACTGGGGGCAGATAAGCCGGTCCTTGGAAAGTCGATGCGAATCTCACATCGCTGTCAAATTTCGTATCACTATAATCGACTGTGCTTGAAAATACCGAATTGGGGCTCAAGGAGGTATCTCTGATCGATTTTGAGGTACTGGAGCTTGAGTGGTGTCCATGTTCTCCAGCGAAAACTATATCTGGTTGAACATTTAAGGGTTGAACATGGATGAATCCTGGACTGAAACCAGCGCCTCCTGCGAATTTAATCGTTGATTCAGGAACTGAACTCTTTCCAGCTGTGATTTCGTTCAAGTTATTAAGTTGGCAGCAGACTTCCTCGTCGGCACAATAATGCACCTGGAAGTAAAATAAAACGGTCGAATTTCTATCACGAAGTCGTGCATATGGGGGATTTCCGCTGAGTGAAATCACTGGAGAGTTATGCAAGAGTGAGGGACTTGAGCCCTGTCGATCAGTTTTTTTGTTAGATAACTTTGGTTACAAAATTATTGGGCCATCTCAGCATGACGTGCTTGAACTGGCCGACCTCTGAGGAGGGATCAAGAGGTGACACATTTTGAAATAAATCGAAAATTGTGCAATTATTTGCGGGAGTAATTAGTCGCGCGTCGTTAAGGTAATTAATTAAGATCAGTGGCGTCCGATTTGTTTACAGTCCTTCGTTTCATTACGCAAGAAAAGTGATTGATTTTTTTGACGTGCTTCGGCTACTCGTCAATTACGTCACCTCAAATACCAACGTGTTAATTTATCTCATCTAGAAAAAATTATTTCTAATTACCCAATTCGAATTCCATGGGGTTATATCAGAGTATTGTGAATTTCATTTACTTCTGACATTTCGAATTGATTTCGTCACGAGACATCAACATTCAAGGATGATTTTCAGAGAAGTGTTTTGTCGTTTTTTTTTTTAATGGCGCACTGACCGATTTTCGTAGCCTAGATCAGTGATTCGTAGCCGAGGGGACATTGCAGTGGGTGGCAACCCTGCGCAACCTTGCGCCTACTGCATGACTCAAATAGAAAACGGATCCAAGGCGGCCTGGAAATGCCCAAAATTGGACCGTTTTATGGGGCGTTTCAAATGAAAGTGAAGAGTATTTTTGAGATGTGGTGCAATTAAAATTGTGCGATTTAAATGTCATTTCGGTTTAAACAGATTGGGTAAGAAATTGTTTTAAGTGTAATTAAGATAAAAGACGAGATTTCACGTGTGAATCCATCATTTAAACTAGAACATAGTGACCTATGATAAGAGAATGTTTTTCAATAAATGAGCCGTAGGGGAAAAATTTTGACATTTAGTGACTTAAATACCAATTTAAACGGTCTGATTTTGTTTTCAAGGTCAAATCGGTGACAAAATTCATTTTTGGGTTCAAAATAATTTTGTGTATTAATTAAAAAAAATATTCGTGGTGGAGTGATTAATATGAGAACAACTAAAATTCAAATTAATTTCTGTTATGTTTAGCAAAAAATTAATGTTAAATTCTTTATTTACGCATATTTTAAAATGTAAATTTTGAATGAAGAACTTGTCGGAATTTTAATAACCCAGATGTAAACAAAGGAAATAAATATGCTGTGGTGGAATTCCAAGGGTTTTTCCTATTTATTTAACTCTGCTGAAATTGGATAGTTTCAGTGCAAAATAAGTAATAAAACAGGTTCAACAGTTTGTTTTTACTTTTTTTTGAAAAGATGCACAATAAACCGTGGTGGAATTTCAAGGGTTTTCCTATTTGTTATTTTGTCCATTGGCGTAACACCACTTTTTTACTAGAACTAATAACCGTTACTAAGAAATCAATTGAAGAAAAAAATTGTGAAATTGTGAAAATTTATTCAGTGGCGCATCACTTAATTCACTTAAATTATTTATACAGGGTGATTCATAACTGTGTGGTCGTTACAACAAAGTACTTTACTTTTTACAAAACTTGCGTATTTTTTAATACTATAAAATTATGTTTGTAATAGTTTAGAGGTCGGGAAATACGTCATTTCATCCTTTGGTTGGGAAGTGATTTATGTAGAATTGTGTAACTTCAAAATAAATCTAATCTCGCAGTGGGATATTATTGGATCACTTTCATTTATTATCTTTCGCCACTGTGTGTATACAGATCGTGGTGGAATTTTACTTTTGTTTCTCATGTTTGACCAGTGGCGTAGGCACGATGAACAATGAAGTGAAAAAAGTGTGTAAATTGCCGGTAATAAATTCCGAAATATTTATATAACCACATAATAATTTTTTCCTCTCTTAAACGACAATGAAACAACTCTCTTCGCAAACAAAACGGTTACAAACCCAAAGTTCAAGTGACATTACCGGCGATAATTTCAAACAAAACCTCATAATACGTAAAAATAATAAATCTCGTAAATGTTAAATCGATTTCTTCACTTCACTTAAGACATTTTTAACAACCTTGTCCCTCGTATTATTAGCACATTTCTCGCCATTTTGTCACTGATCATGACTTTACAAAATTCGAAACTTACATCACTCCTCGTCTGCAACAATCCTTCGCCATTTTTATTCACCACTCCATTGACGCACAACTTCTTATCAACGCAACCAAATCCGGCCCCCTTACACGCCGTCCCTGGTTTTATGGGATGACTTGTGTCAAATCCGGGTTTTTTCTTCGCTTCCAAAGGATGAGTGGTGGCAAAGCCCGGCTTTTTGAACGGTTGAGCCGGTTGCACCCCCAAAAACCCATCTTGCCCCTTAACAACAGCCTCACCGCCGCCACTGGTTACGACTTTCCCGCTCAAAAACGGGTTTTTTGAAATATCAATTCCACCCTCGTTCACATTAGCGGTGTTTTGTTTAGGGTCGTAGTTACCATTGAGGAAAGGGTTGTGTTTGACGTCGAGGGGTTGGGGCCGGAAGGGTTGGGGGGCGGCGTCGGGATTCACAGGTGTGATGCAGTTGCCTTTAGCGTTGCATTTTTTGTAATAGTCGTAGGCGGCCTTTAGGGGCGAATCGGAGTTCATCCACCAGTATTGACCAGGGGTGGCGAGATGGTTGACGGCTTGGGGGTCGGGGGGGTGCGCCGAACCGTCGAGGACGTGAGACACGTCCGCGAGGGAGGGGGCGAGGATGACTAGTATCCCCACTAGGGATAGTGGAGACATTTTCTTTCCTGAAAAGAAATTTTTTTAAGTTGGCTATGGATGTGAGGGGTTAAGTCAAAAAGTTGTAATTTTTTACATTATTATTGCCAAATTAGCGCAGAATTTTAAATTGATTTTTTATGTAATAAAATCTCCGGAATCCAATTTAGTTTGGAGGTTAATAGCAGTGTCATAAATCGCGTAAAAGCTGAATAGAGAATGATAAATATATAAATGTCAAAATAAGCAAAAATATAAAACAGGTTTTGAATCTGCATTTTTTTCTAGAGATCATAAAAATAAATTTTCACAAAGATTACAAAATCGTAATTAAACATGATTTAAAACAGATTTTTTTTTAATTATTTATCTTTTTAAGATACAGGGTGTTTTCGTAATATAGCGAAAAATTGTAACTACATATTCTGCATCGAAAAATAACACTAACGTATAGTCTATACAGCGCCGTTAAGGATATACAGAGTGATAAAGTTATCAATTACTTTATTTTTACTCTTACCAGTGGCGTGCGAACGGTCAGGTCACGATTTATTTTTATTTTTTTATAATTGTCATTTTTCGATGTAGAATAAATGATTGCAATTTTTTAATGCATTAAGAAAACACCCTGTAGTAAACTTTAAAACTAGAAGTTTTATGAAGAATTGTATGCAGATTTCAGTTAGATATTTATTTTTATTATTTACAATAAGATTTCTTTAATTATTTATCTTCAGAAAATAATACATAATTAATAAAAATTAAAGTGCTACAAAAAGTGTGGTATTTTGTGAATGAGAATTAAAAACTAACAAAAAAATTGAAAGCTACTTTTTTGGAGTCACATTTTTATATTAAACAAATATGTGACACTTATTAAAAACATAAACATAAAAAATCTCTAAGCACGCCACTGGTAAGAGTAAAAATAGAGTAATTTCCGGAAAATAAGCGCTTTAATGGGTCACAAGTCTGTAATTTTTCTTAAAAACAACTCAAGTGATTTTGGGGAAACTAATAGAAATTTTAATTTTTATTATGAAATTTTATCCCCCTATACAGGGTGCGCCAGAACTCGCGCCCCAGAGAAAATTTTAGTAAGGTAAGACAGCAGGAACTCGGAAAAAATGTTTAAAAAATTCTATCTATCAAAAAATTTTAACATTTATTTTTTGACATTTGACATTTTTTTATGTCTATTTAATGATACTGATGATCTTGTATATGTTTTTTTTATAATTATTGCATACAATTCTAAGAAACTGGGTACGTTATATCGACAATTTAGTGGCAAATTCAAAAATGTAACAAAAATTGGGGGGTTTTATGTAGAAAACAAAACTTACTTCTGTATCTTATTTTGGGACATCCTGTATTAAATAAAAATATTTTTGAAATGTGCTTCATTAAAGAACCTATCGTTAAAAAAAATCAAGTCGATAGCTTGAATAAAAAAGTTATGAAGTTTGCACGTACCCCTAGGTCACCCTGTATACATAATAATAATTATACCCTGTATAATTATTAACAAAGGTACACAAATTTTGCTAATAAAAGCCACAAATAACATTAAACAAAGTTACAATTTATAAGATACAGCTTCTTTGCTTCCTCTTCTAATAGCCTGTAGCAAAAAAAAAACTTGAAAAATTATTTTTCCAACAGAAATAAATAGTCAAAGTGCAAAATTTAAACCCTCATAACTTCGAAATTTTTATAGAAAATTTTTTTAACATTTTTTCCATGTTCCTGGGATCTTATCTTATAAGTTCTGGCGCACCCTGTATATCCGTAACGAAGCGTTATAGGACTATCGTTTATTTGACAAATTAGTGTTATTTTATGATGTAGAATATGTGGATGCAATTTTTTTCAATAATAAGAAAACAACCTGTATACTAAAATTAAAAATAAATAAACAAATGACATCAAAAATAATAAAAAACGATCAATTTTCAGTAATAAAAATTGTTCTCAAAAAAATGCGAAGAGTTTTCAGGTTCTACATCGGTTTTTTCATAAATTAAGACTAATTTTTTCAAGTGTTTAATTAAAAAATAATTAATCGTAAATAAAAGAATGAATGTTATGGGAAAAATTAAATTGAAAAGGGTATTCAGGCAATTTGTAAAATTATGTTTTTTAATAAGTACAGAACAAGGTTAAATTTAAAATTCCTCATCGGAGTGTAAAATTTCATTCATTTGTTGCACTTCACTTAGCAAAACATTTTAATGTTTGAATGATTCTTAAAATGAGAAAAAAGACTCTGATGGAGAGGTAGAGAAAGTTCGTGTTGAAGTTCACATTCTGTGGGAAAATTGATTTTATCGCAAATCACACAAGGAATCAACAATTTTTATTATTCAATTTCTTACATAATGTGTGATTTTTTAACTATTTTTAATTCTAATACAATCATTTACTTTGTTGGCATTTCATTTGGAAAAAGCAAACAAATACCTCTCCAATAATCCAACAATTTACGATTACATTCTATCATTACAAGAGAAATTCATGTAAATATGTAATCTTGATAAATAAATTTTCCTTGGCTCTATTATTTATTATTCTAAAAGGTCAATACGGCGATTTACATAACACTACTCTTATTAGCACCATCGAAAATCCAACCAAAAAATCGAAAAATTTTTTAGGACGTGACATTTAACACAACCTCTCCTTTAGATAAATCCTCCACATGTTACTCTAATCAGATATCTCGCAGGCTATTGTTTATTATTTGGTATGTTTTTGCAAAAAGGCCATCCTGGATATGCCAAACAATGGAACAATCACTATTTTCGGTAAATAAAAAGAAAGCAAATTTCTCAATTATCGTCCATTACCGATAGTGTTTTTCTTACAAAATCCATTGCATATCCTATTATGCCAAACAAGATGTTATAAAACACGACGACCTTCGCAAAGTGGCCTACTCTCCCATTTGAATTTTTTCTTTCGAACAAATGGAGCATCTTTGACATTTCAAACTGAAAAAATCCGACATCCGGTTCATGTGTCAAGGCCCAACCACAATATATACAGGGTTGAGCCCAAAAAAAACAGATTTCAACACTAAATGAGGCTTAAACCCAAAAAAACCGATTTTTTGGGAGATTTCAACAGTGGATGAGGCGACGAACCCACAATCACTTGAATATACAGAGTTGAGCAATAAAATTACCCCAACTTGACGTTTCTTAACCTAGGTTTGGTGTTTGCAACGCCGAACCCTCACTACTTACGTAATTCCACAGCACACTTCGCGATCACAATCACACGAAGGAGAGTGACACTGATCCGAGGCGGCTGTAGCTCATCACTTTTATACCTTGCGCATCTTCGTCCCCCCACATTTGGGTCAGTTTCAAGGTCGTAGTGATAAGCTGGCGTCGAAAGTAAAAGTGTGATCGACCGGATTGTTGGAGTGACGTCACTGGTGCAATGTGCCAATCCGGACTTGAGATTTTCCCCATTAGTCACGTGTCAAATGTCAGGTTTTTTGCGAGGTTAAGGTTAAGATTTTTGTAATTTTTCCGATTTTTTTCACCTTCGGTGTGCTTCCGTGTGAAGGCGTCGGTTGGCGCATTCGACGCGCGTCGTAAATTCACGATTTGTTACGCCACTGGTGAGGTTTGGTGGAAATGGGGCGATTCCACCACGGTTTCCGCGGTTATGTAAAAATGGATAATTAAATACTCATTTTCGTGACTAACGTTTGCGGAACTCTTTAAATTGAAGCTATTAAGTCTTTAGCTCGGGAATTATCGATTTATTAATTTCATTATTTATCTCTAAAAGGTTTCTTTAATTGTAATTTTAATTACTCATATGTCATAAAATCTATTATAAATTTTCTTCTAATTGGTAAAAATTGCTAGAAGGTTAATTGGAAGTGTGGGAAATTTACAAATAAACTTTGACGGTTATGTTTGAAGTCCTTGTTTGTCCAATTGCGGACCATTTGTTAGAAAATTGTGTCATAGAAATGACTAAATGATTTATTTGGTATCATGACGGTTATACAATTGTTGCAATTAACAAAACTTTCTTTTAAATTAGGATTAATTTGTTTTACAAGTGATATTTGCAGTGGTGGAATTGTCAGATTTTTTGCAAAAAATAACAACCAGTGGCGTGTCATTTCGTTTTTTATTTAATCCCAAATTCATAAAATGAAAGTTAAATTAACACTTATTTGTCGGTATTAATCTTTCTGACACCAAATGTTTATCAAAATCAACTTGAAAATATTTCTATAGAAAGGTGATTACATTAAAATTTTTTAACGTCATTTCTTATTAGGTATTTCATATTTAGCTATCTGTAATTATTAAAAAACTAAATTTAACACAAAAAAATATCTTTACCCGGGAACTTACTTTTTTTATTAAAAAAGCGATAAAACTTAAATGGAGTATACAGGGTGCTCCCCAGAGAAAAATGCCATATAAGGTAAAATACCAGGAACATGGAAAAAATGTTAAAAAATTTTATCTATAAAAATTTCGAAGTTATGAGGGTTTAAAGTTTGCACTTTGACTCTATTTATTTCTGTTGGAAAAATAATTTTCCAAGTTTTTTTGCTATAGGCTATTAAAAGAGGAAACAAGGAAGCTGTATCCTAAATTGTAACTCAGTTCAATGTTATTTGTGGCAAATAATTATAAAAAACATATACAAGATCATCATTATCCTTAAATACCTAGATATAAAAAAATGTCAAATGTCAAAAAATAAATGTCAAATTTTTTTGACAGATAGAATTTTTTAGGCAATGTTTTCATATTCCTGGTATCTTACCTTACTTGAAAATTTTCTCTGGGGTGCGAGTTCTCGCGCACCTGTATACAGGGTGACCCAGGGGTACGTGCAAGCTTCATAACTTTTTTTCTATACAAGCTATCGACTTGATTTTTTTTCAAACGATAGGTTCCTTAATGAAGTACATTTCAAAAATATTTCTTTTTAATACAGGATGTCCCGAAATAAGATACAAACGTAAGTTTTGTTTTCTAAATAAAAACCCCCAATTTTTGTTACATTTTTGAATTTGCCACTAAATTCTCGATATAACGCATCCAGTTTCTTAGAATTGTATGCAATAGTTTTTGACTTATGTCAATTTATGTGTCAAAATAGCGTCGTGCATAGACCCACTGAAAAAATTCTAACTTCAGAACTATACAAGATAACGTAACCAACTTTTTTCTAGTCGATTCTTTTAGGTTTAGCTCATCTTTAGAGATAAAGGCGAACCTTGAGTCGATGTTCCATCGCCTACTACGATTTTTTGAAAATAACAAATTACAAATGGCAGTAACTTGACCTTTTCAAATACAACACCCTATATTTCATTCATTTTTTCCATGTTCTTAGTATCTTATCTTACTTGAATTTTTTATCTTGGGCGCGAGTTCTGACACACCTGTATTTTGCTATTTGTAATTATTAAAAAACTAAATTTGACTTAGAAACCAAAATTGGACTTACATATTTTTTATTAAAAAAGCGATAAAACTGTTAAATGGAGTATATTTTTCACTTGTAACTCCACCCATTGCTGGTAATTTCCCTTTAATTTTCATTGGTTTGAAAATTAAAGGGAAATGCATTCAACTGTTTTAATGTCATTATTATCTATTGTCGTCCTATTGGTGGTTCGGAAAATGTGATGGGCGGGGCATCGAGAAAGTAGCTCAATAGCCAATCATTTTGTAGTTTAATGTCACACACATTACTGACGCCTGCTTTGATCCGTCATCATTTTTAACGCTATAATAAAATTAGTCATTGATTTTGTTGGTGATTGTACCCAAAATTTAGTTTAAATTTGGGGAAACCAAATTGAGAAATTGGAATTTTTTTCTTGACCTAACCTAATCGCTATTTTTCTTCAATTCGCTTATTTAAAAAAACTTTCGAATTTGCATTTAACTGTTTAATAAGGAATTCAATTTCGACCTGAACCAACTCCTTATACGTTCTAAGAGGTTGTTTACATCGCTGTTTATAGATAAATCGTTACGTCATTTAAATAACATTGTCATGAAAAAAAAACAAAAAATCAATCCTGCTTTTACTCATCAGAAACGTGACTGAAAATCACTGACAGCAGGATTTGCAATTAAACAATTAACAAATTTGGCATTTTTCAAATTCGACCGTGACAATAATAAGAATAGGTCCTGAAAGTGACCCTTGCGTCAGCTAGTTTCCAATTTTGCACAGTTGGTAGCCGAAATTCGATATTCTTACAATGATGATTCACATTTTGGTAAATAATTCGTGTCAAAGGTGGCGTTGTCTGGGTGAGAAAAAATATGACGGAGGTGATTCAAGGTCGGTCTCATCCGCGTTGGCTTTTAATGAGGGGAAAAAGTTCAAGTTCACGTTTTTGGTGGAGTTAAAGATTTGCGCTTTGTTCGATGATGATAATTTATTGAAAAGTGGGCTGGGATTTCGCCCGTTGAATATTTCATTGTGTCATCGTTATGCAACGGTGAAATTTCGAACGATTTTATGGACTCGGTGGAATTTTTTCCGAGTGATAATAAATTTGAGGGAACGGCGATATTATTGTGACTTGTTTCCATATTGATGCTCGATTGATTGCCTTGGGAAGAGATGAGGCTCTTGATTTTGGACACACCTTGAAGGTTCCGTTCGACTTGTTTTTCAACATGTTTATGGACGGTTTTGATTTAGTTTTATTTTTACAGACGGACATTATCGTATTTTTGCCTTTTTTCTGAGAGAAAATATTATTTTTTACAAAACAAAGTTTTGCAAAACTATTTTATCTAAAAAAAAAAAGAAATCAAAAATATTTTTTGTAATATCACGAAGCATCAAGTTAAAATGCTCTACGATAAGTTGTTTTTGAGATCTTCAGTGAAAAATTACCTGCGGTGATTATCAAAAAATTAAGTTTTTTGAATCTTATTAAAAACTGGTACAATTTGTAAAATTACTCGTAGAATTCACCTGTACATTTTGGATGTGGGAATGGGGAATCTCCGAAACTAAGATGATTAGCTAAAAACGAGTGATACATTCTGGGGGAGAAAATAATATTGGTTATAACCGCATTCCGCTATCGTCTTTTGTTTTTGACTTACAGACAAAAGTTGACATTTTGGCGAAATCTAAAAAAAATTATCTTCGTTATTATAGAAGATACGGATTTGAAATAAAGACATTAAAGGCACTTTTTTACGAGGAATTTAATAATGTAGTTAACATTTTTTTTTCAGTTATTGCATGGTTTAGCCGTAATAAGATAAGCTTGTATTTTTTTAATTGGAAATCATAGGCGGCTTTGGCAATTTTGAAAAGCTTATTTTTTTCTGAACTAAAAAAGTATATAGGTATTTGTAACAGAATATTTTTTTATAATTATACTTAAAAAATGGAATACATATTTTCTTTGATAATGAATATGGAAAAACTATTTCACTCCAAATGTGTAAATAATAATCAATAAGAGTTTTGTGAACTGTAAAATAGATGAAAAAATAGATAAAATTTGAAAAATAGAAGTATTGAACAAATATGCGAGCGCCTTAGAACAAAATTATTACATATTTTTTAAGAATCCAAAAATGGGAAAAACAAATGTGTCAACAGTCAACACAATTAGAAAAAACATTTTTTTTTGATGATCTAATGGAGGTAGGATAACGTTCCACATTGACGGAATTTGGGTATTTGGTCATTTTTGTGTCATATAAAAATATATTTCATTGAAGAATTAAAGCGGCTTTTTTTACAACACTCTATGTATCACTAGAAGTTGCAATGGTAATGTTAGCTTGTTTAAAAACAATAAGTTGATTTACAATTTATTTTGCATCTTTTTCATTACTTAGTACTTAGGAAACTCTTTCATTAGTGACACTGGTTGAATATAATATAGTTTAAAACCTTTTAGTTGAAGATGCAACATTTTTTCATGGCCAACTGCGAACAAAAATCAAAGATAATTTTTTTCTAAAAATTTATTATCATAATTTGTTACAAATATATATTTTTTAGATAATAAAAAAACAAGCTTTTTAAAAATGACAAAGCCATCTATGATTCCTATTTAAAAAAATACAAGTTTATTTTATTACGGCTAAACAAACCACTGAAAAAAAATGTTAACTACATTATTAATTCCTCGTAAAAAAGTGCCTGTATAATGTCTTTATTTCAAATCCGTGTCTTCTATAATAACAAAGATATGATTTTTTTTAGATTTCGCTAAAATGTCAATTATTGTCTGTAAGTCGAAAACAAAAGATGATAGCTGGATGAGGTTTTAACCAATATCATTTACCAAAAAATGAGCCCCAGAATGTATTACTCGTTTTTGGCTAAACCTCTCAGTTTCGGAGATTCCCTAGAAACACAAACGTTAAAAAAAATTAAAAATTTGAATGAATATACAGCGTGCGCCAAAACTCGCACCCTAGAAAAGAATGCTAGGTAAAATACCAGGAACAAAAATTTCGAAATTATGAGAGTTTAAATTTTGCACTTCAATTATTTATTTCTGTTGGAAAAATAATTTTCTAAGTTTTTTTGCTACAGGCTGTTGGCGTTTTTTCAGTGAGAAATATTTCTATTGCAAGATATGCAAAAACTACCATGGATAGTAATAATTTTTTTATTGTAAAAAAAGTTAAAATAACGTGGAAATCCTTAAATTTAGGCGTAGGTAATGTTGATACAGATCGATGCAATTAAACTCTCTTTCATTTAGTAAAGAAAAAATTGGGGTCTTTCATTTGAAAAAATTCAGTTACGAGTATTTGAATTTTCCCAGACATAACCTTAAGTTTTGGAGGTTTGTTAATTATCTTTCCAATTATAAATACACGAAATAAAAGATCTAACCTTTTTTTTCATATACCCAAATACGATTTCAAAATAATTAAAAATCAACTAAAACTAAAAAAGTAAATTAAAAAAATTTCAAAAAAAGTTCAACTATTTCAAAAACGGTTAAATTTAGGTATAAGGAAGTCTGATAAAAACTTTCTCAAAATCACTTGGGTGATTCAAAAACGCAATAAAAAACATAACTTTTTATTTAAAATAACGAAGTTGATACCCATTTCCGGTGTAACCGGAAGTGCTACCATCTTGAAAATATTTTCATTGGGCAGGAGCTAAACGATTATGGCTATAATCAAAATTTTAGATAAATATCATATTCGAACTCCCAATACTTTTAATGTGAGGTTTAACCGAAACACCTTGTGTAAGAGGACGGGCGCATAAGTATGCGAACTTTAAGACATGTACGTACAATAAAAGGGGCATAATAAGAGAGCATAAGCATAAAAGCGGCATAAGCCCAAAAGCATGAGAGTTTTTTTATCGTAAAATGTCAAAAATTCAAGGAAAGTTTTGTGTCTTTTTAAGTTTTAACCTATTAGGAGCCTGTAAAAGAACTGTTGAGATATTAATATTTTTTTACTCCAATAATTGATGATGAATTTAGCAGGTAAAGTTTTTATTTCATTTGATAAATTTTATAATGAAAAAAAATGGGTTTTTTTGTTGCTGGAGACTACAATATTTTTCTTGTCAACAATATTTTACCGAAATTGATTCATGAAAACATCAAACAAGGAAATTCCTAGTGATTCCTCCACCGTTTGTCATCGTTTCTATTTATACAAACAATAAAAAATCCACTCTTCTATTTTTACATTAAATGCGAAATTTATTGCGTGACAATTGGAATTTTATTTTATAAATGTTTTTGTTATGACGAAACAACATTATCAATTAGTCATAAATTCGTCAAAATTAAATTTATCATCACCAATTTTTCTTCCAGGATCATTGAACAAAACATCGTTTTACAGGAAAAAACAAATGTCAAGGTTCATAATAACAGACAAAATAACCTCAAGAGAAAAAAAACAACATAATTTTCATAAAAACCAATTAGTGATGATAGAGTCACGTAAGATTATTTATTATTATTATTACATTTTATGTACAATAACGTATTTTGATTACTTTTGTTGTATTATCAATTCAATTAAATTTAATTTGACAGCTGTCAATTAAAGTGGTGCCCTCTGGGCAGGAAATTTGAACTTCCATTACGACACCCGTTTTTATTGCGTTTAAATGATCGTAAAGATGTCACCTTGTCGTCATGTTTTTCTCAAAAATATGCCCCAGCCCACTTAATTACCAACGTTTTAAAGGTCAGAAGATGTCCGAAAATGTATTCCTTTCGGAAAAAATGGTAATGAATTGTTTAGAAAGGCAGCACGTGTGAATTATCGCCGACTTCCTGATTCTTGTACCATCTTTTCGACGCACTAATGGCATAATTAGCAATCAAGGTCTTCAAATTTTGACGACCCAATACTTATGTATCTGGGGGAAAGCGACGGCGTTGTCAAGGCGACCGACTCATCCTCTGGCATCCTTGCAAGGCTACCAACTCGATTGGACCAAATCGGGCCGACTTGGCGGATCTCCGAGGAAATTCCGGAAAATTTATTACAATAATCTGCGATTATTTAACTTCTCTGAATTATATCACGAGTAAACACGAACCGGATCCCTCTACGAAGTGACCTATGGATTATTGATGAGATTTCCTGTTTTTTGGACAGGTGGCGCCCCAAAAAAATATCTTACGAAATTCAACATGTTTCGTAAATATATCTACAATAAATAAATTTCTTTTATTTTATCGTAAAAATAAAATTACGTCGTGTTTTATGTTAAATGCTCGAGAGAGATGTGATTTATTGGAATGCGTTGCATAATCGAGTGAAAATTATAGAGTGTGCTATGGAATTTGGGAGAATTGCAGTTGGCGGGGGCTGATGTGTCAATCACGTGGGCTGGCTCAAACCGTGGCGGAATTTAGAGGATCTTTTGTGACTCAACTGAAAGTTTAATTTTTTACTAAAAATAAAGCACTTTTAGTTTAATTAAAAAAAATACAAAGAATCTTGTTTCAGTAGACGCTACAATGAGATAATATTGAATTGTTTGCATAATCAAGGATGATTAAACATAAAACAATGATTTTATGATGGTAATTTGCGTAACTAATAAGGCAACTAAAGAGCAAATTCTGAACATTGTAAAAATTGTAGACATACATATGGTAAACAAACTGTTTTAAAACATTTTTTCTCGTCTTGGTGCGTTCAATGTTAATTACGAAATCAAAAAATTTAAGATTTAAGGTTGTTTGCTCATCTGTACTGAAGAAAAACAAGACATATTTTCCAAGTATTTATTCTGAAGCAGTATGAATAAAATTACAATAATTATTCAAATATGGCTATTGTATTTTAATCTCTTATAAAATAGGTTATATTACAATTCTTGTATCTCTTTTGATTTATTCCAAATTGAAAATCTCGTTAATTGGATGACAAGTCAATTGAGATTTTACAAGACGTCACGCTGGCATATCATCATAATTAAAAGCTTGTAAAACCCGAAAACAGCCATTAAGAAAATTAAATGTGATGCAACACAGAATTTTAAGTCGATTGAATCGGAATTTTATCGTAAACAATCAATTTTATTTTTGGTACAATTTTTTCCACGAAATAATCGAGATTAAAAAATTATAAAATGGCGCAAATTTAAATTTCCATAGATTTGGGGATTAATTAATTCCAACCGTGATCTTTTTTACGCAACCTCTCGCCTGTGACCTGGCTACCTGTCATTTGTTTATTTAAAAAATTCGTGAAACTCATCCGCATGTGTAATTTATTGACCAATAAATAAAAAAATAGATATTGTAAAATTTTATCCAAATAAGGACGCAATCAGGCGACATTTTTATATAATAGCAGAATTGGGAAACGAGGTGTTAAGAAACACGAAAATTGAAGTTGTTTATTAGTTTTTTTTCAATTAAAATATTAGTGTGTGTAGACAACTTGTGATGCTGCGCTGTATTACTGGTTGTCTATTACACATGTTTAAGTTTTGTTTTAAAATAACAAATTATTTATTGTTTTATGTTTTTTCTGTTTGTATTATTGTATATTTGTTGCATTTTTGGAAATTTGCCTTTGATAACGGTGCATTAATTGATAAAAGTGGCATAAAATTTGAATTTTGCGCCCTTGAGTGCTTATTTATGTGCTCTAATCTAGTCCCTACGTCGTTGATTGCTTGGCGTATGTGTGACTGTGTTATCCGATGAACTCATGTCGTGGCTTAGTTCATCGAAAATGTAAACACAACAAACCATCAAGCCAGCAATGATTTGAAAGTGGTGTAAAAAATCGTGAAATTCGTGTGCTAAAAGGGCCCATTTTCGGCGGAAATCGTTGTTTTCGTAAAGTCCAATATTCGTTTGTTTGTGTTTTTTCGTGTAAACATTGTCGTTGATTGATTTTTGGTTAGTTTTGGTGTCATGTGCCCGCTGTGTAGGTATATTGAATGTTCGATTAAAAAGCGATTATTCGTAGGTGTTAGCCTATTTATGATGAATTTATTATTCGTTGCAGTAATGGATAAATTTCGTGCGAGTTTGTGGACATGTGGTCGGGATTTCTGGCACGGATTTAGGACAAATTGAGGATGCATGTGAGTAGTCCTGTGGGAACGTCGACGACCCGAGATTAACCCCAATTACGGATAAATTGGCTGTGGGGGTCAGTGGCGGAGCCTATTTCACCCGAATCGAGTCGGCGGTGACGAGTGACGTTAGGTCTGTCATTTGAAGCAATTTTATTGGTCGGGGGTGAAAACCGGTCACGTGGGATGGGGTACATGAACAGTGGCGTAGATTACACTATAGTTTACTTTTTTTAATGGAAACATTAATTTGTAATTTTTTTGTTCAGTTTTTATTGTTTTAATTACTTATTGATTAAAAACGGAGCTGTAGCTCTGGTCGTTGTTTCGTAAACACTCTGTATTTGACATTTGGGCGACAAATGTTTCGAAAAAGGAAAACGTCAGTGGCGTGCCGGTTTTATTTTTCGTGTCGAAATCTATTTTTTGCTACGACCCCTTCGTTACGGTCTCTTTGGCACGCCTCTCCACTTGAAACGCATGCGTCCCACATTCCCACATGCCGGGAATCTCTTCGCATCATCATAGTAGGTACCGCGCCGTCGTGATGTTTTTGTTTTGATTGTTACGAAACCGCGTCGTCTTAACAACCCCAAAAATTGACATTTTGTCAAAAATCACGCAAGTCTAGTGACCATTCCGGAATTCCAGCTTTCGTTTGTTTCACAGGTAAGCATCACGGCACACTCGATCACAACAACACCACCGAAAAATCAATAAACCGACGCCAGTGCCCTCGATTTTCTCGGGGGGGTGGGCCATTTTTTCGCCAATTAGTGACGGTTTGTGGTCATTTGGAGCGATTTGCGTTTGTTTTTAGCGGAAATGATTGTCGTGCCCCAGTTGCTCAGTTGGCCGTTTTTATGTGAAAAATATTTCGGTACTACCAACTATCTGAAAAAATAAATTATTTTTCATGGCCAACGGAGTCACGCGACGTATTTTCGTCACGCATATCACTTTTTTTTAATGACCTTGTGGTTACGTAACGGCGGCGCCTAATGCGATTATGCGCTTTTTCCGGCTTCCGGTGAGGTGAACGCACTATTCAAATTTGGCGCCGTCACAGCCGCCTTATCAAAAGATAAATAATTGCGATAAGAAAACACAACAACTCAGTTTTGAGAAAAATTCTAATTGGACGCACTAGATTACAACTTGAGTAAAAAATGTTCAATTTCTTGAAACCAAAGGTGAAAAAATGTTTTTGCGTTAATTAATATTTCTAATACTGTGTTTTGTTTGTGATTTCAGAAAGATCCAGGGAAGCCGTCAACCAAACCGCCGAAAAGGATCCAAACTTCGCACAGGTATTACATACACGATTTTTTTCTCTTCCGGGTTACGCCCCACCGGAAATCGGGAGTTCCTAGGGGGCGGAAGTTTATAACCCGTCGTCATGCTAATGCGAACACGGGCCCGTTACATAATAATTAACGCAACGGTTTGTAAACAAAACGGGAATTTAAATTACGGGAAGTGTGATTTTAGGCAATTTTTAATACGAGAGTGTATTGTGGGTTGCGGCGTTTAGTGCAAATTAAATATTTCAAACGTGAATCATTATTTATTATTAAAGTGGCCTAGTTTTGATGTTGTTTGTTGTTATCAGTTGGAGTGATTTGGTTCCTCCGTTGGACAAGGAAAATTAATGTTGAGTTGTAGGTGGCGTTGTTGTGACAATTATTAAAAAAAATAATACTTATTAATTTTGTAACCAACATAAGATTTGTGAAAATTGACGCGTTTTTTTACAATTTTTTCTATAATTTGTGAATTATGAAATAAATACGTTTGAAATATTTATCTGGAAAAAAAATCAGTGTACAACTTGCGTAGATATAAAAGTGATATTACGTTGGATTTATAATGAAAGAAAAAACAATGCAAAACCAGATTTTGTAATGTCCATTTCTCATTTGTTTACCTTTATTGTAAACTGTTTGATAACAGCATATTTGACTTTTTCTTATCAAACAAGTACAAGAAAAATCTAGGACGTGGCAGATACGGTGTGAAAATGCTGGTTTGTGTCCTAGCTAATTATTTTTAAATTTTTATAATAATCACGAAAAAAAAATTACTTTCATTATTCTGTATATTGTTTCAATGATTTATTTATTTTGCAAGTTTTACTGAGGAACCAAATTTAATGTTGTTTGTTGCATTGACCGTTAAATTTTAAATTTGTTGTAATAAAACAAAACATGATTATTTATGAATTCGAACGGAGACTTAGATAAGCAAAAATCTGTTATTTTTATTTGGCGAAAAATTATTATAATCGCTTATCTTTATGGACTGTGCCATAAATAGCCGTCTTGATTCTCACAATCGCTCACCTCTTACATAATCGTGTAATTTATTCAACAATTTCCGGTAGAATCGTAAAAGGAAATGTGTAGGTGCATATTGTAGCATTACAATGTCTCTGCACAGCAAGCTTCGTATCGGGGGTATAGCTCAGTGGTAGAGCATTCGACTGCAGATCGAGAGGTCCCCGGTTCAAACCCGGGTGCCCCCTCAATTTTTTTTTGACTCAATATTTAAAAACCAATCAAAATTTATATCACGGTCGTCGACCAGACATTTTCGGTCACCGTATCACTTGTTTAAGGTCAATCGGTCATCATTTGATTGTCATTCACAAAGCGTCTCATTGTTGAATTAATTTCAGAACCGGAGTCAGGACACCGAACGGTGAAACGAAATCTTGGTTTAGGTCGCCGAAACCGGTCAAAAAGAGTAACATCAGGGACGTCGAGGTGGGTTTTTCGGTTTTTTGCACATTCGATTCAAAACTTGCTTGCAGATAAGACCGATTTCGGCGTCAACGCCTACTTTGAACAATAATAATGAGAGCAAGAAAAGCAGCAAAAGGCCATTGACGTTCGCCGCAGGAAACGTCACATTAAGGCGGTAAGTTTGAATTTTGAAAAAAACAATTGACGGTGTTTTGGAGTCAAATATTATCAATGTTATTATTGATAAATAAACAAGGTCGGGGAACATCGTGTTTTGATACAAAACAGTAATAAAACAGAGTTGGCTTGGGGCGAATTATTTGACAAGATTGACAGAAGAATGCGATTTACACTGTAGAATGTTTACTTTTTTCCGCCGTCACGTGTTTTGAAAATCAGGTGTCTTGATCTAACTTTCAAGGCTGCATATTTACGCGTTTTATGTCAAATAAGGACGAAATCGTTGTTTTTTTGTACTAAATTATAGGCGGCTGTGACGAATATTTCACCGAACAGTTGAATCATGAAAATGAATTTCCGGTAAAGTTTTAAAAATATGAAACGGTGACGACATATGTCGGCCCTTTTTATCTAGTCAGCGTGGGAACAGGGACGGGTTTAAAAAAGGGGAGGTGTGTTTGTGATGTACAGGGTCGTATTTGTTATTTTCAAAAATAGATCAGTGGCGTAGTTGTTTTGTTTCCTTGACTTGCTTTGTCAAAGTAAATAGTGATCTCATAAAAATAACAAAATGTTTTATTGTTTTTGTTTAAAAAGTAAATTTACACTAATTTGCGTAAAATTTTTACCACGTGGGATGTGTATAATAAAATAAATTAAATTCGTTCATTAGTTTTGGCGAAATTCCAAACAACCAGTTTACAAGCAGTTTCCATTTCTGTCGAGTAATAAAATCGAGGAAAGCGTCGAATTTCAGTTTAGCATAAATTATAAAATTCACTTTTCTGGCTTTTATGGGTGGCAAGTTAAATTGTGCTAAAAATTGTTGTTTATTTGGGCAATAATAAGTTAAGTCTCAGTTGGCTATGAATAAATAGGATATATTGATTCTTGTTTTGTACAAGTGTCAAAAATTTAACAGATTTTAAACTTTCAAGTTGGCCATGTTGGTGTTGTGTGTAAGACGCAAATGTCAAAAAGATTATATTTTTTGAGTTGGCTATGAACAGATGTTTTTATTATTGGTAAATAACCAAAAACGTTAAAATTGTTATTTAGTTAAAAATTCAAAAGGTTTTGCCATGAGTAATCTCGATATTTTCATTTTTTCGTTTAAATTTATTCAAACATCAAACACTTTTAAATTATTAACAACACAATTTTAAAACAATTTTGTATTGAGTTGGCCATGAATAACGCGAATTTGATTTTTTCGAATGACATAAATGTCAGAAATGTTATAATTGAGAAATGTAGACAATTTAAAAACGATAACCTAATGTTCTAGTTGGCAATGAATATACTCTATATTAGATTTTCCAAGATAAAAAGTCACAGTTATCAAAAAGTTTTATCAGTTGGTATTTTATCAACAACTTAGCATTTATTTTAGTTGCTTAGTTAATTAATATGCTTTTTTACATAAATTAACATCTTTTTTACTGTAGATTGAAAATTATTTTGTAGATTTTATTAGTTATTATACAGGATGTTTTCTTAATATTGCAAAAAATTGCAATCATATATTCTACTTCAAAAAATAATTCTAATTTATCAAATAAACTTTAGTCCTATAAAGCTTCCTGACGGCTATACAGAGTGATAAAAAAAAACTTAAAATAAAACAAAATTAAAATTTATTAATTCCTGTGAAACCACTTGTTATTTTCCGGCATTTACTTTATTTTTATTTCACTGGATATTTTTTATAAACGTTATTTTTTAATGATGTGATGACAATTTTTGCAATATTAAGAAAATATCCTGTATACGTATAAATAAATCTGACATGTTGATTTTGTTGAAAAATCATAAAGTAACGAAATACTATTTGAGAACAATGACTTAATTTATTTAATTTTTATACATATTATTTTATTTCACTATTAAAAAAAAAACGAGACTTTTGTGTCATAGTTGGCCATGAGTATTGATTGTTTTCCTATAAATACAGAAATCTCAAAAATGTGACATTCCATTTGTCTAGTTGTCATTGACCATGAATATTGTTTCCGTTTGTTTTTCACGGTCAACTCAGATATTTTTTTTTTTATTTTGGAGATATTTTTATCGACTAATTTGAATATTTTCGATGTTAATCGTTGGTTTAAAATGTCTTATCTTGAATTAACCAAATATTTTAAGTGAATTAAATTTCATCAAAACCTGTTGGAAGTCTTTTTATAGCCCGCTTTATGAGATTTGTTAATTTTCGTCTTGAAAAATGGATACAAACATTTTATCCGGACATGACGTCACCATAAATCTCGCAAGAAAATTATTCAGGAAGTTGCAAATTGTGCCTTGTTATATAATAATTTGTTACACAATTGTTTCTCATCTGACGCGCTTCTAAATTTTCTGCAATTATTGGAAATTTTCTTACCGGAAGTTTATTTTACATACTTGCAAGCTCGAATAAACAAATCAAATGACTGTGGTGGAATTGTTGCATTTTTTCGGGTTTTGTGGTGGAATTTTCGGATTGCGCCAGTGGCGTAGGCGCACAAAATTGGAAAATAATTGACTTTGTGACATTTCGATAATGTGCCTTGTGGGCGATGACTTCTCATGTCCTTGAACCCAGTTTTTTTAAGTTTTGTCACTGAAAACCTTGAAAAGTTGGCCTCGGGTGAAAAAAATCTTAATAATCTTTCAATAAAAAGAAATAAAACGAGAGATAATTTCCAAATACGGGATTACGGCCCTGCTGAAAGCAGTCTACCTCAATCCCCCCCTCAACTACCGATCAGCAACGGTCGCCTTCTTGATAGTCGTTCGAAACGAAGCATCGAGTTTACGTTGTCAAGGTGGTCGTGCGTGTTTTGTTTTCATACAAAAACAAAATACACAAATCTAGTTCGCTTTGAATTAATTAATTTCGTTAATTATGATGTGATTTTAAAGTGTGTCGAGTGATGGTGCAACGCCGCCTTTCTAACGGCTCACTATTGTTATTGCAATAGGAAGATTGCAGTGTGCGTTGGTTTTTTTCCCTTCAATTTTTCACCCACGGCCTACTTGATAAAAATTTCGGGGCGCCTGCTTGATTTCGAGACCTGGTTGTCCAATGGAGGTCGATGGAAATGGTCAATTTTCTCAAATGACCCACATACCTCCTTGATCTAGGGTAAATGCGACAGCTGTATATCGTCTCGGGATGGGTTTAATTAATTTTTTTTCGTGATTAATTGGAGCGTGACAGAAATTTATTGTCTACGTGGTCGTATGGGTGGTTCTCACGGTGATAATGGGACCGTCTTTAATTCCATACCAAGGTCGCGACGTGGTGGAAATTTATAATCGAGATGATGGGAATGGGATACGGAAACCAATTTTTTTTCACGATATGGGTCAATTAATGGTCATGGTCGGTGGTTTTTTATTGTGATGTAATTTTGAGACGATTTGTCATGGTTTGAGATATGTGTCGTGGCTATCTTGGATAAGTTTATATTATCTGTTCAGGGAAACAAATGATTCATTCGTATTGACAAAATTTACTCATTTTTTTTTGTAATAGGATTAATACTCAGAAGGTTGATTTCTTGTGATAAGAAAATACAGAAATTATTTTTGAATTATGTATACCAGGAGGAGAAAATATGGAAAGAATTTTTTTTTGTTTTTGAATTCTACAAAATTCTAAACTGTAATTTTTTTTACAAAGGATATGACCTAAGGATTACAACCATCTACAATTTATTCAATTTTTATCGTAATTTTTATTTTATTTAATTTGCTATTTTGTCAAAAATCACAACTCAAAAATAAAAATTGAACTATCAAAACACGATCAAATTTTTATAACACTTTAATTTTTATTAATTGTGATTTTCTGAAGAGATGATTAAAAAACCGCTTGGTTCCATACCTTTTGTTTACCCCCTGTATATGGTTTAAGAAAAAAATTTATTTGTACTTTTTTGTACAACTTATTATGAAATAAAAAAGGAACTCTGTGTTTTAAAAATTTAAGAAAATTGCTTCACTTTTGGTGTCACATTAATTTTCTTACATTACACATAAAACTTGTTTTCAATTTTTTAAACAAAAACTACAGATGTTATTTTTTTAAATTTTTTATTACGCAGTTTTATTGTTTTACCCAATTTAAATTTAATCCAAGTTATTGTTAATAGCGTTATTATTTTTTTATACAATACAAGGTGATTCTTGCAAACCCTACATTAGAAACTTTTTAATTTCTAGTATAGCTACGACTTTGAAATTTCATATACGATCAAAATCGATCATTCTTGATTCAACTAAATTATTTTCAAAATGACTGAACTTCTGAAACTACGAGAAATTGGCGCCAACTTTAAAATTTTATATGATAACCAGCCATTTTTTTATACTTTTGAATTCGCCTTCTCAAACTGAGTAAAACGAACTCAAGTTATAGGTACTGATCTGTCATAGTTTTTGACATATGTCAATTTTTTTCTATTAAAAAAATCACAGCTCTTGAACCCTTTGCAATAAGTGAATAATATTTTTGCATGTGGTAATTAAAGGTTCGAAGAGTCTTCTAAGACAGTTCAAGGCTATTATGATTTTTAGAAAATGATTAAAAAACTCAGTTGTTTCAAGGCCAGTCGAAATGTAGGGCTTACAAGAATTAGGCTGTATTTTTTTCTGTACACGTTTTCCTTAATAAAGCTTTAAAATACGTTTTTAGTTTCTCTGAATATTAAAAATGCAATTTGTTTTCTCCACACGTCGATAAAACTATTAGACATTTTTCTCGAGTCGTTAAACCGTCTACGCCACTGATAAACCCGTTTCAAATCCATACAATTCCACCGTTTTAAAAGATTTACGACACTTGAAACCGTTTTCAAGTGAAACTTGTTACAAAATAATTCGTTTAAAATTGAATTAATTAACCGTTTGAGGCAATTATACAAATTGGAGTGGAATAATGACGCGCTATTAGATCAAAACGAAAATTATTATTAGTCATATTTAGAGATTATTCAAGGCCGTTAATTTGTACACTTATGGAAATGTCACAATTTTTGCAACAATAACAAACTTTGTGTGATATTAAACAGACAATAAAAATTATTATTGATTTAACCTCAATATTTGAAATTGCGTTTTCATGAAATGAGTAAGGTGTAGCTGCAATTTGCATAATTATGCCTTTTGTGGGAAATGCAAAGGTTTTCTTTGTGTGTAATGATGGAAAATCAAGCAGGCATTCTCGGAATTTTTTGTTTGTGTCGTTCACTTGTTAAAAAAAAGTCCACTGACCGTCTTGTAATTTATTTATAAAATGCAATTCCATAAATAGCTCGCCGGTTTAACCTTCAGATAAATCGTTTCATTCATAACAGTAAATTTTTTCGCGATTGAGGGGAAAAAACCGCTCGCTTTATCAATCAAACCTCAATGTTATAGAAAGACTCATTAAAACCGTCAATTGTTATGGTTAAAATGAAAAGCATCAAAGCGATATTCCGCAGAGGACAGCAAACGTCCAAAATCGAGACGGCGACGACACCCGACGACCTTTCAAGGTCATCGTCGATCACCAATCTAAATGCCGATCCGAAGGCCACCAAAGGGGCCAAACCGAAAAAGGCCGAGTCGAAGGACAAACTAGACAAGGTCACCGATAAGAAAAATGATAAAAAGGCCTTGAATAAGAACAATAATAAGGAGTCGGAAGGGTCGACCGATTCCGAAGTGGAGACTTTACAGAAACAGTTGGCTCAGATGGCGAATGATAAGACCAATTTAGCATTGCAATTGGGTGAACAAAACGGACATATTCATAAATTGCAAGAGGAGGTGAAGCAGCTGAAGATGATGCACCAGGAGGCCGAGATTAAGGTTGAGCAGCTGATGGATGAGAATAGTGTCTTGAGGAAGCAGCTGAGGGATGTAGCGAATTCGCCGCTTTCTGATAACGAAAAACAGCAGATTTTGTATGAGACGCATAGGCAGCATAGCTCGGCACCCGCCTCGATCGCCACCAATGTGAGTAGTTTTTATTTATTTTTTTACTTTTTTCTCATGAATTTTAGTTTGGTAATTCCTAAAAATGGTCGATTAACTTTAAGTCACAAAAACTCTTCAAATTTGGGCTTCTAGACGTAAAATCACGATGCAACAGGTTAAAATGCTCTACGATACGTAGTTTTTGAGATAATGAGTAATAAAGTTAGAACATACAGGGTGCGTCAGAACTCGCGCCCTAGAGAAAATGTTCAAGTAAGGTAAGATACCAGGAACATGAAAAAAGTGTTTAAAAAATTCTATCTGCCAAAAAATTTTGACATTTGACTTTTTTTTTATGTCTATTTAATGATACTGCTGATCTTGTATATGTTTTTTTACAATTATTTAGTAAAGGTACAAAAATTTTGCCAATAAAAGCCACAAATAACATTGAACAGAGTTACAATTTAGGATACAGCTTTCTTGTTTCCTCTTTTAATAGCCTATAGCAAAAAAACTTGGAAAATTATTTTTCCAACAGAAATAAAAAGAGTCAAAGTGCAAACTTTAAACCCTAATAACTTCGAAATTTTTATAGATACAATTTTTTTAACATTTTTTCCATGTTCCTGGTATCCTACTTTATATGGCATTTTTTTCTGCGCGCGAGTTCTGGCACACCCCTGTATATCCGATTCTGTTCAAAAAACCAAAAATTTTTGCTTCTTATGAAAAAATAGTGCCTACTATACATACCTATGGAAAATTAACCGGAGAATACGCCTGTAAAAACCGTTTTCACCTAGGACTAGTTTTTATGAAAAAAAGAAAATTAAAAATGGTTTTGTACCCGGAACTGTTAACCGGAATGACTCCGGATTTGGGCCATTAAATAAATAATTTAAAGTAGATTCTGATGTTTCTTGGCTTTTTGCTCTAAGTTTTATGGTTTCGTAGAAAAACGCATTTAAAGTTTCACAATTTTGAAAATTTTTACTTTTTGAACGTCTATTAGACTTGGAGCAAAAAGCTCAACACAAATGTAAAATGTTCCGGGGAATCGATTGGCGTCAAGAAAACTGCTAAATTCGTTATAGTCGTATTTACATTTTTGATATTTTTGACTTTATCCGGGTACCAAAAATCGACCAAAAATTCGACAAAAATCAAAAATATTTTCACTTAAACATTCTAAAATTGATCTATATATTTTTTTAATTTCTAGAGGTCCTAAAGACTCAAAAAAGTACATTAAACTTTATTGGCTCAAGTTTAAAAAAATACGAATATTTTGAGTTTTTGAAGGTATCGTTTTTGAAAAAATAAAAAAAAAAGGAAGTAAGAAGAGTCAATTTACCTTAAGTCATAAAAATGCTTGAAATATGGTTTTCTAGACGTAAAATTACGGTGCAACAAGTTAAAATACTACGATGCATAGTTTTTGAGAAATTGAGTAATAAAGTTAAGAATAAGGCTATAAGCATCTGATTCTGACCAAAAATACAAAAATTTTTGATTTTTATGAAAAACTAGTTTTATATGTAATATTAACCGGAGAATACGCCTGTGCAAACCGTTTTGATCTAGGACTCATAGTTTTTGAGGTATGATTTTTTTTTATGAAACAAAAACTAAAAATGGCTCTGTACCCGGAACTATAAGCGAGTGTGGGCCATTAAATAGATAATTTAAAGCTAATTTTGAAGTTTCCTAAAAAACGCATTTAAAGTTTCACAATTTTGAAAATTTTCACTTTTTGCGATATCTTGCAAAAAAAACAGTTTTTTAACGCAGATTACGGCGAAACTAAAAGAGCTAGAGAAAAAAGTCCAACGTCATGAATCTGAAACATGTTCAAAAAAGCAGTTTTGATACGTTGGGTTCAAAAATTTTTACTTTTTCTTGTTTTATAAATTACGGCAAGACTTTATTCAAAATGGTTCATGTTTTTATCCATACGTATGTATGGAGAGTTCCGGAGAGTCGATTGACGTCAAAAAAACCGCAAAATTTGTTATAATTTTGAAGTTATAGTCGACTTTATATTTTTGATATTTTAGATTTTACCAGCAATTTTCTCGGTAACTATTTATCATAGGACAATGATCTTTTGTTTATATGATAGACAATTAAATGTGCTCTTCAACGGTACCAAACATTAAGGGCTAGCACCAATAATTCCGGAATTATTGGCAACAAACCGTTACGGGTACCGAAATTTGGTAAAAAATTTAAAGATTGAAAATTTCAAAATTGATCGAAATGCACTTTACGGGGTGTAAAAATGCATAAAACGTCGTAGAAATACAAAAATTATAAAAAAAAAGGTAATAGTTTAGAAGTTATAATCGAAAATATTTTTTTAATATTTTTGACTTTACCAGCAAGTTTCTGGTTAATCATAGCACAATTATATGATAGAAAATTGAACATGCTTTCCAACGGTACTAAACATAATAACATTGTTCACATTTCTAGAGGTTTTAGAGACTCAAAAAAGTGTTTTAGTTAAATTTTACATAGGTGGTTGTGAAAATAATTTTGACATAAATGTCATTTTGACAGTTATTGGACGACAGTGGTGACATTACTGCATGCCCGACACCCGAATGGGACAAACATTCGAGCAGTAACGTCAGCGAAGTCTCCGTAGCCTGTCTCCAAGATAAAATACATCAAATGCAAGAAACACACTATAGGTAACTATACTCATTCTCTTTTATAATAAAAAAAAATTGAAAATATCAAAATGTAGTACCAATGAAGAATTACAAGCAACACTCCAGGAACTGACAGATCTCCAAAAACAACTCACTGAACTTCAACAAGAAAACTTGCGACTCAGCGATGAGAAAAATCTCATGTTTGAGTCACTTTGTCGTCAAACTGAGCGTTTAAACGATTCTAGAAACGAAGTAGAATCACTTAAACAACTCTTGTATAATGATGAAAACGGTCAATTTGAAACAGCAGCCGAACGTGAGCAGAAATTGGTCGATTTATTGAAGAAAGCCCAAGAAGAAAGAGAAGCTTTATTGGTGAAACAAGAACAATTGGGCAATGAATTGGAAGATGCAAGATCGGGTAATTTGATTCAAAATGAAGAAATCGGGCAACTTAGTGAAAGAGTTAAGACTTTAGAAAGCACACTTGATGCAAAACATGCCGAACATAAGCAACTTGATCAGGAATTGGCACAAGCCAAAGATCAGAGTAGTAGTCGTCAAATTGAAATTAATCGACTTAAAGATTTACTCGAAAATGCAAGAACTAAAATCGGTGAATTGGAACAAGATCGCACACTGAGCGATAAAAGTGAATTGGATGAGCTTTTGGACAATGCACGAAAAGAGAAAGACGCTTTGGAATCGGAAGTTGCCCATTTGAAAGAACAACTTGCTCTAAGCAAAAACGAAACTGAGAAACTCAGAGAACAAGTATCAATTCTTCAAGAGGAGTGCAAAGTAACACGAAATAATGCTAAAACGACTCAGAGCGATTTGGAATACAAATTAGAGAAACTCCAAGCTGAGAAAGTCGCCTTAACTGAGCAACTCCAGGAGTTTCAAGACGCTGTAAATGAACTCCAAGTCCAAGCTCAGTGTCAAACTGAAGACAAGCGACAACTTTCAGCAGTCTTGTCCGAAACTCAGAGAAATTTGAACGAAAGTGAACGGAAAATTGTCGAATTAGAAAATGAGTTAACTGAATTGAAACGCGTGAAAGCCGATCAGGTGAGTTGTTAAAATGTGTAAGCCGAGTTTTAATGGACTTCTAGGAGGAAGAATGGGAGAAATTCCAAAAGGATCTGCTAACGTCAGTCCGTGTCGCTAACGATTTTAAAACGGAAGCCCAACAAGACTTGGAAAAACTCGTCATGGAGAATAAAGCAGGCCGTGAACGTATCAAACAACTGGAAGCCCAACTTGAAAAACTCAAAGGTAAGTTAATTTTTTTTATTTCTTCCGGTTCGTTATTTCGTAATTGCGTCAGGTCCGAGCCGGAAGTCCAATTTCGATGACAAAATCGCATCGCTTAATCGTCGATACAAACAAATCGAAGGTTTAACCGACGAGCAATTATCCGAAGAACAACGAGCGGTTAAACTTTTAAAAGAACATTACGATCGGGACTTACCGAAACGTAAGCCAGTCGCGAATAAACCAAAAGATAAGTTGGCGATAAGTAAGCCATCATTAGAATCAGTTGTTTCGGATCCGAAATTACATAAATTTGTTCGTGATTCTAAATTGCAAAACGTGGAAACGGCGTATTTTTACGACGAGGAAGTCCAATCCGAGCCTGAAGTCCAAAAACCGTCCAAATCGATTCATGTTCGTAGTAAAAGTTTGTCGGACTTACCCGAACCCGAGCCGAGGCTTCGTCGATACGATAGCATCGAGAATTTGCTCGACTTATCATCGAAACCAAAAGTGAGGAAGCCGCGTAAAAAAAGTACAATTACTAATGAGACTTTGGAGCGAATTTGTCGCGAAATTGATCCGAATATACCCGAAGATGAGTTGACAAAAGAGCAAAGATTTGCGTTACGTCTTCGCAAAGTCTTAAACAAAGAACAGAAAAAAGTTCCGGTGAAAAAACATCCGAATTTTGGACGAAAAAAATTGAAAATAAGTCGACCCACACAAGAATCGGTTATTAAGAATGAAACATTGCGCCGGATTATTAACGATCCGGTTATCCGGAATGTTGGTCCGGAAAATCGAGTGATTAGAAGGAGTAAAGTCGGGAAGAAGGGTAAGGGGAGGTATAGTGCGCCAGTGTCGCCACCTATACCAAATGATTCGTTGAAAATACCGAAAAGTAAAAGTTATAACGATATACATTTCAAATTTCAAGTACCGGATATGTATTGCGGTGATGAAGAACGTAGTGAAATTCCGGTTTTACCACCGGAGGAATTTCGGGATACGGAACCGTCAATGGCCGCTGATAATTCAGCATTCCGGACCTTTCACGTCGATAAAAATACGTTTAAAAGGGAGCATAATTATTTGGATGAAGATGTGAAGAAGAAAATTGAAGATGAGGATTATATGAAGAAGAAAATTGAAGAAGAGCATTATCTGGATGAAGAGGTGACGAAGAAAATTGTAGATGAGGGTGAAGATGTAAAGAAGAAAATTGAAGAAGAGCATTATGCGGATGAAGATGTGAGGATGAAAATTGAAGATGAGAATTGTGTGGATGATGGTGTGAAGAAGAAAATTGAAGATGAGGTTTATGTGGATGAAGATGTGAAGAAGAAAATTAAAGAAGAGCTTCATGTGGATGAAAAAAATACGTTTAAAAGGGAGCATAATTATTTGGATGAAGATGTGAAGAAGAAAATTGAAGATGAGGACTATATGAAAAAGAAAATTGAAGAAGAGCATTATGGGGATGAAGAGGTGACGAAGAAAATTGTAGATGAGGTTTATGTGGATGAAGATGTGAGGATGAAAATTGAAGATGAGAATTGTGTGGATGAAGATGTGAGGAAGAAAATTGAAGATGAGAATTGTATGAATGATGATGTGTGGAAGAAAATTGAAGACGAGAATTGTGTGGATGAAGATGTAAAGAAGAAAGTTGAAGATGAGTATTATGTAGATAAAGATGTGAAGAAGACAATTGAAGATGTGTATTTGGATGAAAATATGAGGAAGAAAGTTGAAGATGTGACCGATACAATTAACAACGTGATAATAGAACGTTTCTACGAAGAAGATCTTCTCAATGATGATCTAAACGAGGAAGATATAAAAGTGAGACGTGGCACCAGACAAAGATATAGTCAAGTGATTGAAGAAATGAAAGAAAAATTTGACATTTCGGACAACGAAGAAGACCAAACTGAAGAAAATACTACATTTAAAGCGGTTCCTGCAATTACAGTTAACGATTCAGATTCTGATGAATTTCTTCTCGATGAAGAATTAATCAGAAAAAAGAAGATTATAGAATTGGCCGATAAAAATGTTGAGGAACCTCCCAAATCGCTGCTTGAATTTTTAGAACCAAGCACAGATAGGGGAAGTTTTGAGTTCCACGAAGAAATTACATTTGACGATGAAGAAATGGAACGAATTAAAGCGAATTATGAAGAAATACCGAAGGAAGTTTACAAGGGGATATATTTTGAAGAAGAAGATATTGTCAAAGTACCAAAAGAGGAATTTACGATTTTTGTAAGCCAGAATGAAGATGCAACTCCGACGAGTACTGTAATTTTAGAAGAAGCTCCTAAAGAACAAATGACAATTTTTATGACTTTGAAACCGGAATCTACCGTCGTAATTGAAGAAATAACTGAACAAGAAGAAGACATAAAGATTGAACCAAGTTCATGTTTAATTATAGAAGAAACTCATAATTTTATATTGAAAGAAAGGGATGCAAGTGATGAAAGTGCAAACAAAAATGAAGAAACCGAAGAAATAAACGAAATAATGTTCGTAATTCCTACCAAAGATCAATTGTCAATTGAAGAACTAGATGATCAAGTTGTAGCGAAATTAAACGAAGATGAAGAAATAGATGATAAAGTGAAGAGAAAAGAAAATCTAGAAGGTGATAACAAAAGGAGAGAACGGGGGGAAGAAAACGACCAACAAACAACTCATACAATCAAAAATGAAAATGATTTGTTGAATCAAAAAATAGATGAAGGGGAATTGAGTGAAGAAAAAGGGTCAGAATTTGAAAATGAAAATCTGAATAAAACAAATGAAGATAGTTGCGAGTTGCGAGAAGATTTAACTCCTGAAGAATTGGAAATTTTACACCAACTGACTAAACCTCGCGTTTCGCGTCCCTTATCCGACTTGAAAGACAAAGATCTCGAATTGATCGAAAAATTCAAAGCTGAATACAAGAGTGAGGAAACCGAAGAAGAAAATGTGAAGAAACCACAACCACCTCGTATTCTATCACCGACAAAACTCAACGAAAAACCATCATATGAACCGGTTTATGCGAATTATTCCGTCGTATCATCGAACAATCGAAGTTCGAAAGAGTTTCAAGCTTCCATTTCGGGCAAGAAACCAGTAGCATTGCCTCGAGTCACGTCATTGGATACAGAATATCACGAATTTAGCGGTCAAGTGAGAAAAACACGATTTAGTATAACATACGAACGAAAAAAGGGCGACTCTTTTAAAGAGAAAAATGAAGAAAAGTCGACCAAAGTTAAAGATTTGAAAGAGATGTTTGAGCGTAGGTCGAAGTGAGGCACAATTTTGTTATTTAATTTAATTAGCAATAAATAGTTTAGTTTTCGTTATTTTTATTATTTTTTTCACAAGCAATTATTGAAGTACAGTACACGCAAGGTAATTATTATTTTACTTGTCATTGTGTTTGGTTGTTTTGTCTCGTTTTTCCATGTCTTGTGCTTCAATAATGCGCGCTTTTGTTTGTGTGTCGTTTCAAAAATTTTTTTCACTGATGTGAAATGTGTTTTTTCAGCTCCGGAGTCTCTCCCCATCCGTCCGCCAAGTTTCCAAATGGATGATTTGACGTCTCGGAGGCCTAAAACCGTTCTTAGTCGTCAAAATAGTCGCCAATCGGTGAAATCGCTGATTGAAAGTATCGAAAATGCGGGAAAGCCGACGAAAACATCGTCGGGGGTGTCCCGAAGTAGTTCAGCGTCGTCGATAAGTTCGATGGCGTCGGATGTGAGGAGTCCCTCAAGTCCGATTGAGACGCTACGAACGCCGACGGAGTGGGCCGAACCGAAGACTCCGCTTAAAGAACAACAACCGAATAAGTTGAATCGGGAATGGGGGAAGGCTGTGATTGCGGAGATGGGGAAGAATGAGGAGGGGTTTAGGGAGGCGATTCTGCAAAAGGGGTTGGATTACTCCAGGAGGAATAGCTATTCGGATATAAGTAAGTTAATTTGTTTCTTATTTTTTTATTGGATTTAATGTACTTTAAAAATTGATTTACTAACAAAATAATTCAAAAGTGCGTTATTTTGTTTATTTAATTTTCGCGTTAACAAAATTCAAAATGGCCGACTTGGCAATAATCAACACCGAAAATGAAAATTTTTTAACAGTGTTGTCAGGTCTAGTGAAATTTTACCAAATTTCGTGTTTGGTGATTTTTTGCAAATGAAACAACTTGTAATTCAGTGTTTTTGCATCTTTTTTGAACGTTTTCCACTTTTTTTTTTTTTCAGAGAAAATTGATTATTTTGCCATATTTTCTCAAAAACAAAAAACACCATACACTTGCATTTTTTAGAATACTTTAGTACATTTTTCAGCTAGAAA